TCCGCGGGGGGGGGGGGAGCGCCTGCGGCTGGAAGAGCTGGAGCGGCAGCGCGCGGAAGGCGAATCCGTTCAGGCGGTAGGCGAGGAGGTTGTTTGTGTGGTAGAGGGTCTGGAAGAGGAGGTAGGCGGCGACCAGCTGGCAGAGCTCGTAGCCGCGGCTGGACCGAGGGGGGCGGGGGGAGGGGGGAGGTGATGGTGATGGGTGAAAGGGGATATGGGCGGCTGGGCAGGGGTGAGGTGAGGGGTGAGGTGAAGGGTGAGGTGAGGGGTGAGGTGAGGGGTGAGGGGAGGGTGTGAGGGTGTGCGGGTGAGGGGGTGGGGGTGTGAGGGTGAGGGTTGAGTGAGGGTGAGGGGATGAGGGCGAGGGCACAGGGTTGAGGGCGAGGGCGACGGCTGCGCACCGTGCGGACAGTGTGGCGCACGACAGGTGGCCAGAGATGAGGCAAAAGGAAGGCATCACGACGGGCTTGAGGAGGGCGAGCACGGCCGACCAGACGGGGATGATGCCTACGCGCGCGACTCGGGCATGCTCGCGCACGTGTCTTGGACATGCACATGCACATGCACATGCACATGTCCCGCCGACCACACGCGGGAGGAGCGATGCCTTCAGGCCGGTCGGCGGACGTGTAGACGACGAGCGTGTGGTACACGACAACGAGGTAGATGAGCGCCGCCTTGGCGTTGTCCAGCAGCGGCACGCGCTCCCGCGCAGCCGCCCCCTCGCACGACGAGGACGCCGCCGCCGCCGATCTCTCGTCTGCGCAGCCGTCGCCGCCGCCAGCCGCGCCGGCGAAAGCAGCGGACGCGTTCACAGCTCGGCGGCTGCCGCCAGCGGCGATGACGCGGACGCCGTCGTCCGACCGCCGTTCGGACCACGCTTCCGGCGAGCGGCGGCCGCTTGGCGGAGGCGTCTCGCCCGGCGAGTCGTCTGCCGTCCGCCGCCGCTCCTCGAGCTCGAGAGCGAGGCCGAGCACCGACTCGGCGGAGGCGTCGCCATCGTGATGGGCGGCGCACTGCACGGGGAGCAGCGGCGCCGCGAGGGGAGCAGCCGTCTGCCGCGGACGCAGCGATGAGACGAAGCGCGACATCGCGACCTCCAGGCCCGCCTCCAGGCCCGCCGCTGACATCGTTACGGCAGAGACCAGATTGTGAATGAGCTTGCCTGCGTGCGAGGGAGGTCGAGCACGGAGCTAAGTGCCTCGCCGTCCTCGCGGGAGTCGCTTAGGCGGCTCCCGTGGTGTACCTGTGTTAGTGCCAGTGCGCGCCAGTCCCAGTCCCGTGCCTAGTGTCGTGCGAGGGAGTTTTGTTGTACAGTTGTAGGTAGGTAGGTAGATAGAAAGGTGAATGAAGAACAGCCAGGCTCGGACTGGACACCAACGCGGTATGGGTGGACGCGAGACAGATGATGACGACACGCACGAGCGACTCACAGACACAAACAAGCTCACAAGACACACAGCCAGCTGGCTGCCACACACCCTGAGTTGGCGTACACATAACTCAGTCAGGGCCACATTCTTCCTGTCGCCCCCCCCAGCACTCCAAGGTGCCAAGAGAAACAAACAAGGGCACAACATCACAACAGACGACAGGAGTAACATGCGAGCTAGAGCAGCTTGCTCCACCTCTAGCGATCTCGCCGGCCGGCGAGGCACGGACGAGACCGTGTGTGGGGTCTAGTGAGGTGTCTATAAATAAATAAATAGAGCAGACATCTCCAGGAGAGATGGGCGACGCACGAACACAGAGGGACAGTGCGCACCCCGCCCCGCTCGCAGGGCGTGCAGCACACAGCAACACAAGACATATCTAGGCGCTGTGCGCCTCCTCGGGATTTCTAGAAGAAAGAATTTAAAGAAGAAAGAAAGAAAGAAAACAGACACGCCAAGGGAGGGATGGGAGGACGGCACGCCGCCACCACACAGGGATTTTAAGAAGAGGGGTGTGGTGCGCTAGCCGTCGCCCACCCTTGGGCGTCCGGGATTTCTATGGACGCCCTCCTCCGAAAAGAAAGAAAGAAAACAGACAACCCAAGGGAGGGATGGGAGGACGGCACGCCGCCACCACACAGGGATTTTAAGGAGAGGTGTGTGGTGCGCTATCCGTCGCCCACCCTAGGGAGTCTGCCTCTTCCTATCTCTCTTCGCAGTCTCTCGCCGATTCTCGCTGCAACCTTCATGCCACCTCGCGGTCGTCCCACCCTCGTCGTTCTCTCCCTTGTCACTTCCTCCTCTGTCGCGTTGTTCTCTTCTGCCTCGTCCTGCGACGCCGCCACCTGCCGGTCCCTTGTTCTCGCGGCTTCTTTCGCCTGTCGGCGCAACTCCGTCCTCCTCGCCCGACTTGGAGCACTTGGACTTGTAAAATTCTTCCCACAGCTTCCGCTCGACGGGAACGCTGGAGAGCTCGGCGCGTGCTGTGCTCACCAGTGCCCACCAAAGCGTGGGAAACCTGTGTTTGTGCCTCGAGCGCCACGATCGTCCTAAAACTGCGTCCGCCAGTCCGAAGCCGGCGCCCCGGCCAGGCTCGCGGCCCGGCCATCGGTCTTCATGTCCGTAGTCTTCACACCGCTGCTCACCGCGGCTGTGGCGCCCGCGGCGTGGCGCCTTCTCCAGGGCGTCCCCGCTGAGGTGGCGCTAGGAGCGAGCGGCTCGCTCCAGGGAGCGCCACCCTGCCTCGCCACGTTGGAAAAGGTGGGCAAGGGCCACGCTGCGGCGTGGCGGCTCGCGGACTTCCGTACTGTGGAGACCGGCATGCAGGCCCGCCTCGCGCTGGACCGCAACCCCGCCGAGCCGTGCTGCAAGCTCATGTTTGTCGGCGGTCGCAGCGGTCAGCGCGAGAAGCTCGGCCACATGCTGCTCGCGTGCGACGAGGATGGCTCCGCGCTTCGCGGCATGCGGATCCGAGAGGACCTCCGCGGACGTGGGCTGTCCAAGCTGCTGCTGGCGGTGTGGCTGCGCCTGTGCCTCGAGGCGGGACTCACGCCGCGCACGCGCACCATCAACAAGCCGCTCCTCTCCCTCTCGCTCGCGGCCTTTGGCTTCGCGCCCACCAACCAGCGAGGCATGCTCGTGCGCGTCTCCGCCGCCAAGCGCGCGCGCGACTGCGTCCGCAGCACCTCGGCGCACGCGCCTGGCAGGACCGCCTATATCCGCACCGCCTTTGAGGTCCTTTCCGCTGCCCCACGCCGCCGCCTACAGCACTAGTGCATCAGCTCCGTCCCACCCACACGCGCAGGCGCCCGACGCGGCCACGCTCCGCGCCGCCGTCGACCGGCAGCTTCGGCATGGCAACCTCGAGCTGGGCGTGCCGCCTGCGGCGCTGCGACGTGCGCTCACGCTGAGAGGAGGCTGTGGCGCCTGCACGCCAAAGCGCCGTGGTCGTCGACGGCCGCTTCCCTGTTGAGAATTTAGCTACACTGTGCATTTCGGGTTTGCATCGTCGTCCCGCGACAGCCGACACAAATCTGAATGATGATTGGGAGAGCCACATGACAACGCGCGCACACCCACACGACCACTCAACCAGGATCCTGCACACGAGCGTCTAAACACTAAAGCCGTGTTTAAAGCCGTAACCCCGTGTGGGGCGGCCCCTGGCGCGTGCGGGACCCCCGTGGCGCGTGGGTGCCGCGTGGGGGCGGGCTGGGCCTGGGGCGTGGCGTCCGTGGCCGTGGGGATCTGTGGGGGTCCGCCGTGCCACCGTGGCCTGACGACGCGGCTACGCGCACGCACTTGCGCACGCGCGGCTCTAAGGTCTAACCATTGTCATGTGTCAGCCCCTTGGAGTGTGAAGGCTTCGTAGCCCTCCGGTGAAGATCCGCAGGACTGGCTCGTGGCTGGAGCGAAAAAAAGGAAGCGAGTCGTCATGTGTACGAGCTCGGGCGGGGTGCGACAGCGCCACTACCCACCTAGGTGGGCAGTAGGAGGTAGGACACCGCAAAGCTGAGTCCGAGCGAGTGTGGGGGGGGCTAGCAGCGGCCCGGTGGTGGCCGTCGATAAAACGGACGGCGTGCGTCCCTCCCACGAGCCCCGACAGAGGTGACCACCCATCCCCAGGCAAGTAGAGCACTTGTCTAGCTCGGAGAGAGCAGGGGTATGGGGCGGGAGCCAGGGGACAGCACAATGCCGACTTCACATGGAAGGCGATCCGACACTTCAAGGCGAACTCCCCCTCCTTCACTTCCAGGCCCCGGCCTTCCATTGTCTTAGGACTCCTAACACGCTTGCGTGGGATTCTAGCGTGGGATGCCCAAAGGGGTACGGGGGAGGGGGGGGAGAGTAGTAGTGTCGTTCTTTGCCGAAAAAGCAATTTTTTTTCGTGAAAGCTGAAACCGAGCGCGAGGCGTGTGTGGATACTACGAAATGCATATGTCGTTCCGGTATGATACATGCGACACAGAGTTATGCACCTCCACATTACGCGCGCATGCGAGGCGCAACACATAAACACCGGAGACGATCGCGCGCGGGTTGCCCCCCCCCCCCCCCCCGCAGTCCTCAGTGGCACTGGCAATGGCCACCTTCCAGGTTCGGCTCGCCCGAGAACCAGCATCCGATCTGTTTCGAGTCGCGGCTGCCGCTGCAGTGGGCGGTTGAGGGGCCGCAGGTGCTGCAGCGGTGGGTAGAGCTGCCCGAGGAGGGGGAGCACGGATCGCCGGCGCAAGTGTAGCAGTCGCACGTTCGCGATGAGCCCGTCAGTCTGAACTTTGGGCCGACGCTGACGGTAACTGGAGGCTTGAAGTTGTCCACCCACCCGAGGAGACCGGAGGTGGCGTCCTCGGCCGCATCGCCGGTGAAGCCCACCGGAGCCTTCGGTCTGCCGTATCGGTCGGCGCACTGCCCCAGCCGCGCGTCCCGGCAGCGGTCGCCCGCGCCGCAGCAGGTTGGCCCGCAGTCGACCGTCTCGTAGCCGCAGCCGCTCTCCCGGGAGGCGCTGCCCCAGACCGGGTGAGGCGCAACGGGCGACCGCTCTCCCGTCCACGCGGCATCCCAAGCCGCGTCCCGCCGCGGAGGGTAGTCGTCACGGTCGTCACGAAAGCCGACCGGCGGTGGCGGCGGCGAGGGCGGCGGCGAGGGAGGAGGTGGAGGTGGTGGAGGAGACGGCGGCAACAGCGCCCGGTCGTTGCCAGCATAGTCATTCTGTCCACCATAGTACTGGCCGCCGCCGTACGAGCTGTAGTAGTTGTATGCGCCCTGCTGCTGCTGCTCTGCGCCCTGAGGGGCAAATTCCGCGACCGCACCTCCCTGCTGACCCTTGGCTGCACTGATGGCAGCAGCAGCAGCCTCGTCGCCGACCCCCACTGTGACGGGAACGTTTGTGTTGACGTTGACCTCGAGAGCGGTGAAGAACGCATCCCAGTCGAGGCGGCGGCCAGAGTGGCCGCTAGCTTCGTCACGCGGGACAGGGGCGGCCAGAGTGGCGGCTAGGAACAACATTTTCTCCACCCCCAAGGTATCCCAAGGAAGTGACCGCTGAAGTCGTCGGGTCCGAAAGAAGAATCCGAAGCTAAACGGACACAGCTCCTATCCGCTCCCCGCTCCCGTTCCCCTGTGTCCCTGATCGTCCTACAAGATCCTGCTTGTGCAGGTGGGGACCCTGTCCTTCTCCCACCCCTCGTTTGGCGTGTGCGTTGTATTTATTTATTTATTTATTCCTATCTGCCCGGAGCCAAACCCTAGGCCGCTTTGTGTATCTCGAGACCTAGAGAGAAGACCGCCTGCGGAGCGCCAAGTCAGAATTTCTTTTGGCGGCTGAAAGAAAGAAAACAAGCGAGAACGAGGGATGGGAGAAAGAAAGAAAGAAACCAAAAACCCCAAATTCTTTTGCCCTGTGTCGAACCTGTGTGCTCCGGCAGAGAATTCTTTTCGTTGAATTCTTTTGGCGGGCAAGCCAACCTAGCGTGCGAACTGGCTTTCGGTCGCACACGGCAGTCCGACACGGCTCTTCGGCGTGAGCTCGCCGATGAGGCTCCTGCCTGCGCTGTTTGCGCCCGCTGTGCTTGCCTCGTGGCACCACACTTCTCTGGCGCCGAGCGCTCGCCGCCACCTCCCGACGAGAGCAGCACGTCTCTCCACCCGCCGAGCGCCCGGCGTCCGCTGCGCCGCTGATTTAAGGAGGAGAATCGCAGACGCGCTCTCCGGGTCGCAGCAGGCGGCGGTGCCCGACGTCGGCGGTCCCGACGTCTTTGCGGAGATGGAGGCGGGCACCGAGCTCTGCCTGCTCCCTTTCTACCAGGACGACGCGGTGCAGCCTGCCGGCGACGCGGCCTCGGCAGAGCGGTTCCGGCTCCTGCTCACGGCGTGGCCTCTCCTCGCGCCGGTGGTGGCCTTCTTCACCTACGAGTGGGTGCGCGACGTCTTCCACGCGCTGATCGCCAGCGCGCGCACGTGGTACTCTGCGCCGGCGGAGGAGGCAGAGAGGCTGCCTGAAGCTTCTCTGACCGCGACTCCGAGCGGTCCTAGGTACTCTGTCGACGGGGGCGCGACTGAGATCGCGCTCATCACCCCAGTCATCAACGGCGTCGTCAACCCGGCGGTGTCTGTCGTGCTCGGCACGCTCATCGCCGCGACGCTCAACCAGCTGCGGATGCGGCAGGTCGCATCTCGGCCACTCTCGGTCTGAGGCGCGTGAGCAGCGTCTCTTCACACCTTCAGCCGTGGACAGGTCAACATCAGGACCTGCCTCAACCGCGAGGCGTGCGGCATTCGGGCGCTCGAGCGTGCCGTCAACCTCATCTACTCGGAGCCGCGCGACGCGGAGACGAGACGCAAACTGCTCGCGGCGATGCGGCAATACACGTCGAGGCTCATCATCGAGACGCGAGGCAGCTGGCGCGCGTCCGTCTCGCCGACCACGGAGTCGGAGCTCGACGCAATGATGGAGGCGGTGGCGCGCTCGCCAAAGCCGTCCGCCGCGCTGGCGCAGACGTCTCGTTTCTACGAGCCCGCGCTCTTCGCGCTGCCCTCGATGATGCAGGACCTCAACAACCACCGCTCGCAGCGCCTCAGCGAGCAGCAGTCCGCCTACCCGGCCGTGCACTGGCTGATCCTCTCGCTGCTCGGCCTCTCCGTGCTAGTCTCCTTTCTCATCGAGTCCGACGAGGCGACGGTGCAGTTCCTCGACTCGCTGCAGCTGCGGCTGCTGTACACCATCCTCTGGGGCGTCGCCGCCGCCGCCTCCTCCCTCTGCGCCGACCTCAACGACCCGTTTCGCGGAAACTTCCGCATCACGCCGTCCGCCGACCAGCTCTACGTCATCCGAGAGACGCTCACCGAAGAGATCTGCTCCGAGTTATTCGACTCGAGCGCGGCGATCGCCGCCGCTGCCGCCGCCGCCGCCGCCGAGGAGCGCCACGTCGAGCAGCAGCCGGAGGGGGCGCCCGGGCGGCCAAACGCGCGAACACCGGGCGGCGGGTCCGGCTGATATCCCATCAGCCGTATTATGGACTGGGCTCTGGGCAGAGTACTTTATTCCCCGCCTGGGACGAAAAGTAAAGAAAAGGTTTCCCGGTGCTCTCTTCTCGCACATCGCCACATCAGTGGACTGGACTCTGGAGAGTAAAAAAACTAAAATGAAAAACGTCGCTCGCCAAGCATCGAGTTCAAGACGAGCCGGAGAGCGGCGCGACCGCGACGGATGCGAGAGATAGCTTACGGAGCCGTATAGTCAAGTGGATAGTCCTCTACTTGTTGTCCGACGGCAAAAAAGCATGAGCAAGAGAAAAAGAGGCAGCAATCAGCTAGCAGAAGGTCGCGTTCTGCGCCAGCTTGGCCAGACCTCCGAGCGAGGTCTCCTTGTACTTCGGCTTCATGTCCTGCCCCGTCTTCCACATGACCTCGATGACTGTATCCAGCGAGATTACCCGCTGGTGCTCACTTCGCATGGCGAGCCGCGCCGCGTCGACAGCGCGCGTCGCACCCAGTCCGTTGCGCTCGATGCACGGGATTTGCACCTTGCCGTCGACCTATGCACAGGCCCTCGGAGTTTACAGAGGTGCCATGCACATCGCTCGTCGATGGGCTCGCCGTCGCCGACCGGGTCGCAGGTCAGCCCGAGGTTGTGCTCCATCGCAATCTCGGCCGCCATTTCCACCTGGCGGAGCGAGCCGCCGAGCGCGGCCGCAAGGCTGCCTGCGGCCATGGAGCATGCGACGCCGACCTCCCCCTGGCACCCCACCTCCGCGCCGCTGATGCTCGCTCCCTTTTTGAAAAGCCCACCGATCACCGAGGCGGTAAGCAGCATCTCCGCGAGGCCGTTCGCGTTCGCCCCCGGCACAAATTCGGAGTAGTACTTGCAGACGGCGGGCAGTATTCCAGCTGCGCCATTGGTTGGCGCGGTCACTACCCTACCGCCGGCTGCATTCTCCTCGTTGACCGCCATTGCCCAAGCCACGACCCAATCGCTCTTCTCGGCGGCGGCACCCGCTCGTTTTAGCCAGTTCCGGTCCATCGAGGCGCGCCGCACCACCGCGCCGCCCTCCTCGAGGGGCCCGCTCGCGCGCATACCCCTCTCGATGCACGCGTCCATGGTCGTCCAGATTGCCGCGAGATAGCGATCCAGCTCCTCTTCGCTCCGCTCGGACAGCTCGTTCCGTCGGGCTAGCTCCGCGACAGTGGTCCCCTCGCGCTCGCACAGCGCAAACAGCTCGGCCGCGTTGGCAAAGGGGAACGGCGCCGCTCGCGGAGCCTCCCCGCTCGAGACTTGTCCCACCTTGGCGCGCGAGTCGTCCTGCTTAACGCCGTCATGGTCGACGAAAAAGCCGCCGCCAATCGAGTAGTAGGTCTCCTCGAAGAGCGGCGGCGCGGCAGGATCGCCGAGCGCGGCGAAGGACATGCCATTCGTGTGATACGGCAGCAGCTCATCCCCGCGGATCTCGATGTCGGTCCTCGGGTCGAACGCAATTCGGTGCGATCCATTCAGCAGCAGTGTGCGCTCGCTCCGGATGGCCTCCAACCGAGCCGGCATGGTGTCGATGTCGACACTCGCGGGCAGCGAGCCCTCTAGGCCGAGTTGGATGGCCGTGAAGGTACCGTGCCCGAATCCAGTCAGTGCAAGCGAGCCATACACCTTGACCACCACCGATTTGGTCGACCCGAGCATGCCCTGCTGCTCGAGAATCTGCGCGAACTTGGCGCCCGCGCGCATCGGTCCAACCTAGAACGGAGAAGTTCGAGTCTGGGATCGGGGGCAAGCACAGTCTAGCATTCGGGGCAAGCACACAGTGTGGGAGGAGGACGGGCCGATGCCAATCGAGAAGAGATCAAAGCAGGAGATGTGCGCGCTTCCGCTGGACTTGTGGCGTGCTGCGCCGTTGCGACATCGCCGCAAGAGCGGTGCAGCACCTCCAACCTGCGCCGCCGCGAGCAGACGCATCAACGGCGCTACGCCCGTCGGTTGTGCTGCTACAGTTTTGCGGGGACGGCCGTCTAGCCTTCGGTCTTATTTTTTCAGTGTACTCTCCCTTTTCGCTCAGTGTATGTGGCTCCTACGGAGCTACCTGTCGCGCTTCTAGTATGCACCACCGCGGCTCCAATTTCGACTAGCCGCCTCGCCCTCCGCTGATCGTGTGGTTGCGCCCCGCCCGCCCGCGTGGACAGGACCCTCTTCGAGGCGTGGCTCTCGACGCAGAGGGCCGACAAGACGGCGGTCTGAAGGTTTCGCCGCCTGACGGTGCAAAGGGCGGCAAGAAGGCTAAGGGCAAGCCCAAGGCGTTGAGGATCGAGAGGGGTCCTCCCGTACCAATGCGGACGGAATCGACCCTATCCAGTGTGCTCAAGTGCTCAAGTTGAGGATCAGCGATCGAGAGAATGGCGAGAGAATGGCGAGAGAATGGCGAGAGAATGGCGAGAGAATGGCGAGAGAATGGCGAGAGAATGGCGAGAGAATGGCGAGAGAATGGCGAGAGAATGGCGAGAGAATGGCGAGAGAATGGCGAGAGAATGGCGAGAGAATGGCGAGAGAATGGCGAGAGAATGGCGAGAGAATGGCGAGAGAATGGCGAGAGAATGGCGAGAGAATGGCGAGAGAATGGCGAGAGAATGGCGAGAGAATGGCGAGAGAATGGCGAGAGAATGGCGAGAGAATGGCGAGAGAATGGTATTCATGGTTAGGCACCCTCGAGTGAGGCGGGCTGTTCGTCGACACACAGGCACTCCCATGTGTCGCATATTTGCCATCCTAGTCGCCCTCGCGCTCCCAACGAGCACGTCCGCTATTGCTGCGGCGCATGTTGCGGCGCCTTCTCGCCGTCCGCCGCCGTCGATGCTCGCGGCTGCTGACGACCGCTGGGCGGCGGCAAGAGAGGCGGGCGAGCGCACCAGCCAGCGGACAGACCTTCTCGCGAGGTCTCTGCTCGCCGCACGCGCGTGCTCGCTGGCCTTCGTGCCTCCCTCCGCGATTCGGTACGAGCCCTACGCCAAGGGCCTCCGCTGCGTCGCTCAGATTGAGGACCCGGCGACCCTCTCCGGTGCCACCGTGCTCGAGACGGCGGCGGGCGAGGTGGTGCTTGCATGCCGCGGCTCAGCCTCCTTCAAGAACTTTGGCACGACGACTGACATCGGCCCCGAGCCGTTGCTCGCCAACCCAATGGCGCGCGTGCACCGCGGCTTCCAGCGGGCGAGCGAGGGGATGTGGCCTCTCCTGCGTCCGCACCTGCCGGCGACGGGAGGAAGGCTACTGGTGACGGGCCACTCGCTCGGTGGCGGGACGGCCACCCTGCTCGCGCTCAAGTGCGAGGCGGCTGGGCTGACGCCGGAGCTCATCACTGTGGCGGGGCCGCGCCTCGGCGACGCCGCCTTCGCGTCCCACTACCGCGAGCGTTGCGGCGAGGCGGTGCATTTGGTGCACGAGAGGGACGAGGTGCTCACGTCCAACACGAAGCTGTGGGACGACCTGGGCTTCGCGCACGTCGGACGCGTGGCGCGGCGGGGCTGTGTGAGGCTTGCGCGCTTCGGGCGTGCTCTGTGACTCGCGTCCGCCTCTCGCGTAGGTGCGGGCGGAGCAAAAGGTGGAGAGGCTGTACGACGACGGCAGCGGGGAGGCGTGCCTGGCAGCCGAGGGAGGGGGTGGCCCTCCCTCCCTTCAGGGCATCCTCGTCGACCACTGCGAGTACCTTGGACTGTACATCGGCGTACGCGCGGAGCACCCATCGGTGTGGCTGCGCCCTCCCTGGTGAAGGTAAGGTAAGGTAAGGTAAGGTAAGGTAAACTTCTCCACACACACGAGGTGGTGGGGCAAGGGGGGGCAACCCTCGCGTCTCCACGTCTAACGACAGGAGCCCCACGGCATTCAAAGTGCAAGGCCCGGTGCGCGTGGGCTCCCCCTCTGGTGAATGTGTTCCATCTCTCTATCTCAATCTACAACCATCAGTGACTCATCAGTGCTTTGAAATGGAGTACTGTCAGCACACAGCTGATACCGGATCACAGTTGTAGAGTGGAGAATAGGCTGCTACGGCTCTATACTCTAGGGGAGAAACTCGAGGGGAGAAACCATCTAAATAACGTCTATTTCACACGTGAAGCACGAGAGACGAGTTCGATGCCTTGCCGCTTGGAGCACTTAGGGGGAGTCTCTGGGGGGACGCGGGGGCCCCCGGAGGCACCGTGCGCCGCGCCGCAGTGCGGAAACGGGGCTCCGGCTCTCATACTCGCTCATACTACCGACTTCCCGATTAAGCTAGGTTAATCAGTGGGCAGATTTGGAGAGATCTCGAGGAGTACACACAGATAGACCCTCCAACTATCAAAAAACTCCAACCTGATCGGTCGTACTGACCGCCGACAGATAACTCCAGACAGCAGACGAGGCCGACGACGTCTGCACGCGGCCGGCCGGGCGAGAGGCTTGACACGATCCGACCCTGCGACCCTGACGCTGCTGCTCTAGCTATCAGACATGCACGGCTGACTGCTGCCACAATGTGCGACCTGTGCTGGCCCACTTGGCGGCCTTCCCGGTCAGTGGTGAGGCGCAGTTCAGAGCTGTCGATGGCGCGATCCGCCGCACTGGTCCCACATTGGTGACACTAGACCACCAAGTTTTCCGGTCCAAGAGAGAGGCACCATCGCTGTCCTGAGAAGGTGCGTGGTCCCTCTTGACTGCCCATGCGCGCGAGGCTGTGTAGGCATAGGCTCGAGAGTGCCAGCAGCCAATCCGAGGTGACGCGCATTGCGCCAGAAGCGTGCACACGATGGAATGGCACCTTTACGATATCAACCTGAGGGGGACAATCGCGCGCTTTGTCGAGCATTTTACTTGTTGCCATGGCTGTTTTTTTATCGTGGAGGTAAAGGCCCTCATAGAAAGCGCAAAAGAAATACCATTAGGTCGCATGAGGAGGCTGGCAGGGCGCACTTTAGGACGGTGCCGACGGGATGCGGCTCGAAGGGCGACACCTAGGGCGACACTCACTGCAAAATTCTCGCGGACACGCGTGGTGGCGGCGTGCCGTCCTCCCATCCCTCCCGTGGGCTGTCTCTTTTCTTTCTTTCTTTCTTTCTGTTCATTCGGGGGGGTTTTCTTCCCGCCCGCCAAACCGTCGCAGGCGGCCAAACACAAAATGGCGATCCGGCAGGACCTCCTCGGCTCCATCGCGGGCTTCGACGGCTGGTGGGAGGCACAGCGCCGAGCCGCAGCTCCAGCCGCGCCTGCCAGCCACGCCTCCGGCAGCGCCGACCGCCACGAACCCTTCAGCCTACTTCTCCCGACGACGCACCTCAAGCTGTCGGCAACGGCGGCGGAGGCGCCCGTCAGGGACGCTCGCGTGCCCGTTCGGCCGCTCGTCTTTTCCGGCGCCGGGCCCGCGCAGCCGCCTCCCGCAGCGGCACCGCCGCCGCCGCCGCCCGCACCGCTCAGGCCGGCCGCCTCGGAGGCGGCGGCGGCTGGTGCGCAAGCCTTCGCCGTCGGTGGCCCCGAAGCGGCGACTCGCGCTTCTGCCGCGCGTCACAGGGGAAGCTCCACCGCGGTGCGCCCGCGCCATGGCTCCGCTCCGCCGACGCCGGCTGAGGCTGCGGCGGCCTTCCGGGAGGGGGTGCGGGAGGGGGAGGAGGCGGCGGCGGGTGGCGGCGGGCGCAGCGGGCGGCGGAGGAGGAAGGCGTGGGACGACGGCGGCGGCGGCGGCGGCGGCGGCGGCGACGTTCGCGGCGGCGGCGGCTTGTTTGACCCGTCCCTCCGGTTGACTGCGCTGCGCGAGGAGGAGAGGAGGCTGGAGCGGCGGGCGAGCGCGGCGACGCTGCCGCTCTCGGCGCTGGAGGAGCAGCTTGGGCGCGTCCGCGCGTGGCTGCGCCCGGCGGGCGGCGGCGGAGCGGCGGAGGGAGAGCCACGGCTCGGTCCGTCGACAAAGGCGCAGCTGCGGCGGCTAGTGAGGCGCGGGGGGCGTAGAATGCGGAGTCGCAAAGGGGGGCTTGTTCCTGCATCGCGCCGGGCGGCCGGGACGACACGCGCACAGCCGCGCCCCGCAGCTCTCCGCGTCCGCGCGAGACGCAGGGGTGTGATGGCGGCGCACGCGGTAGCCTCGCATGTTTGGCACTGCAGGCTGGAGGCGGAGGCGGCGGCGGCAAAGCCTCAGGACGTCACGGCGAGGCAGTCGCTCGAGGCGGAGGTGCGGGCGCTGTCGCGCGATGTGTTTGTGGGGCACGCGCAGGCGTGGCCCGGCTGCGGCGAGATTGGCCGAGATTCGGCCGAGATGTGACCGAGATTTGACCGAGATTTGACCCGAGACCAGGCGTGGCCGGGCTACGACGAGGCGAAGCGACGCGTTGCCGTCGCCGCCGGCTACCAAGACGCCAAGGCCGGCTTCGAAGAGGCGCGCCCCATCGCGTGCTTCGCGTGCGAAATCACACAGATCACACCGGATCACACCAGACCATACTATGTCACGCCAGATCACACCAGACCGCCCCAGATCACACCAGACCGCACGAGGGTAGGCGCGCCGCACCGCCTACCTGGGGTACGCGCAGGCGCGAAGCAAGGCTGCACCTCGGAGCCTGGGACGCAGCTTTTTGGGGACCCCCCCCCCCCCCCCCCTCGGATCTCTCGTCGGTAGGCGCGAGGCAAGGGCGCGCCGCCGAAGAGCGCCGCCGCCGCTCCCGCCGCCGCCGCCGCTTCGCCGGGTAGTCTCTCCCTCCCTCCGGCGCTCGCCCGCACAGAGCAGAGCCAGACATCGCTCTCCTCGCAGCCCTCTCGGAGCCCGCTCGGAACGCCGTTCTCGTAGGCGCCAACCGCCTCCAAGACCAGAGTTTCGCATCGGGACGCGAGGCGCAGGGACGCGCCGCCGGCTCGGCCAACGCGGACCCAGCAGCAGCAGCTGCTGCTGCAACAACCGCAGCAGCAGCAGCAACCGCCACAGCCGCCGCAGCAGCAGCAACAACAGCAGCAACACCCGCAGCCGCCGCCGCCGCCGCCGCCGCCCGCGCCGCCGCACGCGCCGCCGTTTCGCCCATCTCGCTCGCCGCCGCCGGCAGCCTCGTCGTCCGCGGCAGCTGTCCCGGCTGCTGCGGGTGGTGGTGGTGGTGGTGGTGGTGGTGGTGGTGGTGGTGGTGGTGGTGCGGCAGCGGCGGCGGCGGCGGCGGCGGCTGCGGCTTGCGCGGTCGCTGCGGTGGGCGAGGCGGGCGGATGGGTCGCTGCTGAGGCGGGCGAGGGCGACTTTGCGGGTTTGGTCGACCCTGCGGAGGCCAGGCGCAGCGACACTTCCGAGACACGTCCTGGACACGTCCTAGACACCCTTCCGAGACCTCTCCCCATCGCCGCCCTTCCCCCACCGCGGTCCCCGCCCTTCCCCTATCGGACATCCGCACGCCGGTCGACACCGCTGCCTCCCCTCTGCCCGCCGACACGCCCGAGGACACGTCCATGACACGTCCATGACACGTCCATGACACGTCCATGACACGTCCGTGACACTCGCCCGCCGACACGCCCTCCGACACGCCCGCGGGACACGCCCGCGGAACACGTCGGCCGACACGCCCACGACGCGCCCGCAGGCGGATCGGCGACGCGGCGCTCGCGCGGCCGGCTGCCGAGCGGCGCGTGTTTGCCGAGTCAGACGCGTCCCTGTTTGCTGGCGGCGGCGGCGGGTGGAGCCGGCCCTCTTTCAGAGGAGCGTCCCGGGGCTCTGGTGGCACGAGACGGGCGCGGCTTGGGTCGCCGTAGGTGCGACGAGACGCTCCGTGGGGAGGGCGCGGCGCGTGGCGGTACGGAGGTTCCGCCCGAAGGTCAAGGCGCGCCCCGGGGGGAGGGCGGAGAGGCGCAGGCGGGTGCGGCTGGTGTGGGGCTGGTGTCCCCGCCACAACCACGGGGGGGCGAGGCTGCGGGCGCGGTGTCGGCGGCGGCGGGCGAGGCTGCGGCGGGGTGGGTGTCTGCGGAGGTGCGGCAGATCACCTCCGACCTTGCGGCGGTGCGGGAGGAGGTTTGCCCGCTGCTTCACGGGAGGGGGTCGTGCAGAGCGCGTCCCCACACAGCCATTGGGAGCAGGTTCGCTCGCTGGCGGCGACGCTCGCAGGCCGGCTGGCGACGGGCGACGGGCGCCGGAGAGGGGAAGAGGAGGACGAGGAGGGGGACGACGCGGCGGCAGCGGCAGTGATGGGCGGCGGCGGCGGCGGCGGCGGCGGCGGCGGCGGCGGCGTGGGCAGCTGCTGCTCCGCTCTCCGCTCTTCCCGCTCCCAGGCGCAGCTCCGGCGAGGCGCGAGGGGAGGCACGCGCTCCGCTGCTGGCGGCGTGTACCCGATGCCCTCTCCCGCTTCGGCCGCCGCCCGGCGCGAAGGGGCGAGCTTCCCGGAGGCGTCGTCTCCCGCGGCGGTGGGGCTGTGGACCATTCCGCGAGACCCTTCCGCGACCCTTCCGCGACCCTTCCGCGACCTTTCCGCTTCTAGGCGTCCCGCGTCGGCGGGGCTGCCGGCGGCGGCACGCGCCAAGGCGGCGGCAGGCCATTCGACGGCCGGCGCGCGGAGCGGAGCGGGCGGGAGGCGATGCCCGCGTCCGCGCCCGTGGCCGCGCCCGAGTCGCCCGCGTCCGGGCTCGAGTCGCGCGCCGCCGTCCGCGCCGCCCGCCGCCCCCTCAGCGGCCGCGAGAAGAGCGAGGTGCGCGCGGCGCTGTCTGTGCTCGACGAGATCTCAGGCGAGCGGCCACCCCGCTTGGCCAGCGAGAGAGGAGCAGCTCGGCCGCGCTTCGCCTGCACCCCGGCTTGACCACCCCCCCGCCCACCCACCCCCCACCCTCGCCTCCCACGCTGCCAGGCGAGCACGCCGCACTGTACGACAAGTGGGTCCTTGGCATGGGCGGCTCGGCGCTGGCGGACACCTTCAGCGGCGGCGCCTCTTGCGCCTCCGCGCTGCCGGCCGCATCGCGCGCCGCCGCCGCCGCCGCCGCCTCCTCCACTTCTGCTTCCGCCGCCTTCCCCGCCGCAGCTCCGCTTCCGGTTCGCGCCCACGGCGGCGGCGGCCTAGGGGCCGCCGCCCCGGCGGCGGCTGTACACCGGTGGAGGAGCAGCAGGCGCGCCGCGAGACGCGAGCCGCCATCCCCCACCCCACCCGCCACCGCCCACCCGCCGAAGGCTGACGGCCCCCCTCCTCTCTCGCCCCATCCCCTCTCGCCCCTCCGCCTGCAGGCCCACGCGCGGCGTGCAGCTGCCGCCCGCCATCGAGGCGGCGATCTGGCGCGACCGCGCCGCTTTCGACGCCACCTCCGGCCGCGGCGACGGCTCGCAGCCGTGGGTGCGCCGGGATCCACCCGAGGCCTGCTCAGATCACCCGCTGCAGACTTTGGGGGTCCAATCTCCCGCTCGCACCGCCCCCGACAGGCCCTCCTCGAGCGCATCGCCTCGGAGCTCGCCGACGAGGTGGTGGAGGCGACCGCGCGCGAGCTGCTCGCCGCTGCGGACGCGTCCGTCGAGGCGCTGTGCGAGGAGGAGTGCTAGCGGCCGGGGACGTAGCGCGTACTAGACGCCCGCGTCCTCCTCTCTCTGACCACTCTGCGACGTACCTCTCACGTCTCTGTGCCGGCATGCGTCGAAAAACCTCACATGTCTGCTACCTAGTCTGCGCGCCGATTTCACTTTTCGATTGAGAACGGCCGGAGTGCTTTCTTGATCTTCTCTTCATGCCAGAGAGTCTGCGCCGTGAGAGGGGCTTTATATTCTTTCTTTCCGATTTTTTTGCTCACACCGATATTCCCGACATCCCGAGCATCATCGCATCTCGTCATCACGCACGCCTCACGCCTCACTCACCGCCACACCCCGCTCACAAGCCCGCCCTTCCTCACACGTCACTCACGAGGACTGGTCTGCGCGTTCGCAGTCAGCTGCACGGCATCGTCCACGAGCACATCAACGTACCTGCAGCGCACACAAGCAAGGCGGCGCGTGGGTGACTGCACGTGGCCTCCTCTCCCCTCCTCCCCGCCAGCTCACCAGCCCCCTCTCGGGGCGCACGCTGCTCTCACGACCTCCGCCCCGACCACCTCCACTCTCGGTCAATCTCGGTCGATCTCGGCGAATCACCTCGCGAGCTCCGCCCCCATCAGCTCGCGCCACTCGGCGTGCGCCGTGCCGAGCGCGGCCGCCGTGTCCGCCTCGAAGTCGCGCCTCCTCGCGAGCTCGACGCCCTTGGCGAGCGCAAAGTCGACGCCGATCCTGCGTTGGGGGCGCATCAGAGAGCCCATTCGTACGAGGGAGGACAACCGTGCCTGCTCGTCGGAGTGCATCCAGCATCTAGGACGCCGGTCCCCACGCCCGCACCAACCGCAACGCCAACCGGACCCGCCGCGGCGCCCGACGCGGCGCCCGCCGCCGCCGCCCCCGCCGCGGTGGCTGCCTTGGTCACAAAGGGCGCGGCGAGCTTGCCGGCGAGGGAGGAGCTCGCGACGGCGCCCCCGGCGGCCTTCGCGGTCGCCCCTGCCGCAGCCTTGCCCGCTGCTCCCGCGGCCGCCCCGGCGGCGGCGCCTGTCTCGGCCAATCTCGGGTCATCTCGGGTGTGATCTCGGGCAGTCTCCAACAGCCTCCTCGGAGCGCGGTGCCCGCAGCCTTGCTCGCGACTGCGCCCGCCGCGAGGGCAGCCGCCGAAGTGAGCCTAGTGCATGAAGCGGTGGGAGTGAGGGTGCGGCGGCGGCTTCCCGCAGCCGAGCCTCGAGTCCAGTTTCGAGGCGGAGAGCTGCATCTAGGCGCAGCGAGCCCCGCCGCAGATCTGTCGTGCGCACCGGAGAGCTGGCTCGCCGCCGCGCGCGCAAAGCGCCAGTCGACGGCGAGCGCCGCCCTCCCCTCTCCGCCGCCAGTGTCGAGGTGGGACGTCTGCTCGCGCAGGAGCGGCAGCGCCTAGGCGGGCAGGGCGAGGGCAGGGTGCGGTATGGTCCGCACACCGAAGTGGCTCCTCGCCACTCATGAATGCAGCGCCGCTGCGTGCGTCGCCTCGACCGTCGCCACAAAGTCGGAGCGCGCCGCCTGGCCGGGAGAGCGCAGGGCCGTGACTCCGGCCACCCTCGCGCGGGAGACGCGGCAAGGTGGAGGCTCTGCCACGGCGCATGCCCCCCTCTGTGGCCGCTGCGGCCCCCTCTCCGTGGGTGGCAGGGCTGTGGGTGCGGCGTTGTGCGTGCGGGCATCCGGGCGCGGCACGCCTGGCCGGCTCGCTCAAAGCCGCGCCGCAGCGCCGGCTCGAGCACCGCCGGCCGCAGGACGAGCGCGAGGTACTTGTCGAGGACGGCCTGCGGGAAGGGTCCGAGAAGGGTCCGAGAAGGTTCGAGGAAGCGCGAGGTACTTGTCGAGGACGGCCTGCGCTACCGCCTCGCCCGCCGCCTGAGAGGAAGGTTCCGAGACGGGTCTCGGGAGGAAGGCATAGCCCTCACCCTACCCCTACCCCTACCCCTACCCCTCACCTCGCGCGCGCTGAGCGAGGAGGGGAGGGAGGCGGCAGCGGCGACGATGCCGACGCGGAGCAACTCATACGCCGTGCTGTACCTTTGGTGTGAGTACAGGCGATGAGGCCCAAGAAGCAAGTGCGACCGGACATGAGGAGCAGTGCCGAGGTCGGAGGTTGACGGGTGTGAGTACGATGGAGGACGGCCGAGGACGCGTCTTCTCGGGCGCTAGAAGAAAGCAGAGGGATGACATTGTCTGGGCTGCCGCACCCGTAGTACCAGTCTGCAAACTTGCGCACACGATCCGCGCCATGCAGGTCGCTCAGCACCGCGTCAACCTCGAGCGCCAGCGCCTATCTCGTCCTCGACATGGACGCGTCCCGGACTGTCACCGAGTCGGACTTTGGCAAACAGCACGCCTTGGCGGCGCGCTCCTTCAGCCCGCCGCGCGCCTCGTTGAGGGCGGCGACCTGCCTGCACGCAACCTCGTCGAAGAGCTCGCGGTCGAGGCTGGCGACTCGCCTGCTCCCGTCCACCTCCGTGTACGTCACCTGCACCACCTCCTTCGCCTGCCGGGAGACGTCGAGCGATGCCCGCGAGCCGTCGGTGCCTATCAGTGGTGGAGTTGACGACGTGCCACCCACAGCCTCTCTAGCAGCAACCAGGAGCAAATGTCGCAACACGCCTGCAGTGACGTCCGTGGGAGACCAGATGGCAAAGCGAGACACGAAGCCTCCTCCAGCGATGGCGGCAGCGACTGCGGAGCCGGCGGCGATTGCGCCACGAAAGCCCACGCGTGCTGCGGCTGCGCCCGAACTATGCCGTCGCTGCAGTAGCGGGAGCGATTTGCAGGCAGCGCGGCAGCCGAGTGGCAGCGGCCGACGCAGCGTCCGACCGATAGCCGGCATGTACACTCGAAGAAAGAATTTAAACAACACAGGCTCTCTCACAGCGAAAGAATTAGGCCGAACGTCGGACGAGCGTCGCCCGCGACATGCGCACGTAGCCCGACAACTTTCAAACGCTCTGCAAGCCGCGGGCGGCTCCAACTGTCAATGTCGTCTCGCATTGCCGGTACGCGGGCCTGGCTGCTCTCTCTCTCTCCCCCCACTCCCCATCAAGACTGAGCCCCCGGTGAGCACGGGCTGCCGCGACCCTTGCCGTCCCCGCGCACGCAGGTCACCATGGCTGCATCAGAGCTGCTTTGTCGTGCGCACTCGAGCAGCGCGCAACGGTCGCGCCCACCTGTCACCTCGCCTCGCCGGCTGCATCCCGCTCGCGGCGGTCGCCACCATCCCTGGGTCACCGCCACTGCCCCTGTCCCTGCCGCCGCCGTCGCCGTCCGATTCCTCCCCGCCGCCCGGCCTGATCCGCGGCGTGCAACGCCCCCCACGCACAAACATGGGCACACACCTCGGCATCGCCGACCCCCCAGCCCCCTGCCGCCGCCGCCGCCGTCCCTGTCGCCCCCGCTTCCACCCACTTGCTTTACTGCCGACTCCAAGCGGGAGGCAGCAAAAGCACGCAGACAGAACCCTGAGAACGTCGCCATCGTGTAGCAGGCAGGCCTGGCTAGCCGCGTGTTGGGGCGTAGTGTTTGTGTGTGTGGTGTACTCTCTCTCCCCACTCAGTGTATAGTGAGTGAGCAGCGCACGATAACTGAAAAACTCGAAGCCCTGGGAGCCCCTCCCCTACTGTTTTATACCTTTCGCACGACACACTGGCACGGGACTGGCGTGCACTGGCAGAGAAAAAGAATTTTAAGCCGAACTCGTGCAGTGGGGACCCCGTCCTCCTCCCATCCCTCGTTTGTGTTGTCTGTTTTTCTTTCTTTCTTTTACACTGCTCACTGGGGGCACGGGACTGGCGCGCACTGCCACTGGCACTAACAAAGAATTTTACAATGCAGCTCCCTCTTACGACTGGAAAAAAATTCTTGCCGTCCTCCCTTTCTGTTTTCTTTCTTTCTTTCATGCGGGGATACATGAGCACGGGCAAGTGGCCCGAGCCCATCCTGACCGCTGTACGCTATGACAAGGCAGCGCTGCGGGCAGGGCGCGACATCCGGTCCGCCAAGGAACCCCTCTCTCTCAACGACACAAGGCCAAGCTCTTCTTCTTCGAGCACCTCCTCCTTGTCTTTGTTGCTTGTCGCCGCCGCTGCCTCCTCGCTCCCCGCGCCATACTCGGCCTCGCACGTGGGCTCGAGGCACGGGTCAAGCGGCAGCGAGTTGCCTGCGGGACGTGTCGCGGGGCATCTCAGTGGACGCGAGACTGGCTTACGGGAGGGCTCCAGGGGCAGCTCACGATCGCCCTGCACGGCGTCTACCATGCGGTTGACCTATTCAAAATGCTTCAGCCGGCGTCAGTAGACGATGCTGCCGGCCCTGCAGTCGCCGCTCGGGCGGACCACCACGAGCAGCTGTGCGCTCCGGCGCGTGTCGTACAGCTCGTTCTTGTGCGGCGTGTAGGTTCCCGTCCAATCCCAGCAGAGGCCGCCTCTGGATTGAGGGTACAGGACCATAACGAGGTTGGCCTCTGCCCACGGGTTGAAGCCGGCGTGCAGCACGAGGGCCGTCGAGCCGATCGCCACCACGCTCGAGGAGCAGCCGTGGTACACGACGTGGAGGCGGCAGACCCCGCGACCACTCCTGCAGCCCCGCGGCAGGTAGAGAAAGGCGTGCGGGCCCATCCCCATGTCGGCGCAGGATGCGTTGGCCGGGAAGTAGGGGCTCTGCTTGAGCCGGTGCAGGCGCCTCGAGGGCGCGGGTACCGCCGGAGAGAGCGCGCCGAGGAGGTGGGCGAGCATGTGCCCGGCCTATGAGTGTGCTCCGAAGCAGTATCGGGGAGGGGCAAAGAGAATAAAGCGGACGAGCTTGTGCCCCGCCATGTCGTAGCGGCAGTCGTTGAGGTAGGGCGCCCCGAGATACCAGCAGGCGTTGCACTCCTGAGGCAAGGCAAGGGCCGGCCGTTGGACGGCGGACTCGTCGGGGTGATGAATGATGCAGGGCGGGTAGGTGGTGCGCTGCCACGCGCCGAGCAGTTGGCACCGGTTACGAATGCATGCTCGGCGCCTTCCACTGTTAGGCCCACGACGCGCTCTGAGAGCAGCTGGTAGAAGCCGGCGGCCGCCCGGACGGTTGCTGGCTCGACGATCGTGTCCCACTCCCCGGCGTAATAGAAGATCGGCATCTGCCGCAGGTTGGTGGGGCTCGAGATGTCGCCGCGCTCAAAAGCAGAGGCGACGAGGGCCGCCATTGCATGAGAGGCCGTCGAGTTGGCGCAACGCTGGTTGTAGTCCTCTGTTGACTTGTTGATCAGGCGGCTGCACCCCCACGAAGCGGCCTGGAAGTGCCCTAGGCCCGCGACGCGGTCCGAGAAGGCAACAGCGTGCTGAGAGGCCATCGACCCGCCCGAGGAGTGGCCGCAGACGGTAAAGATGGAGGACGCCGCAGGCGCGCCGCTGGGGAGGAGGGCTCGCATTGCCACATTCACCTGTCGGCGGCTTGGGCGCCGTCGCGCCGCCCCTGTCGCCCTCTTAGCTCGAGGGCTGGCGACGGGTTTGATGTGCTCGCGACAGCGCGCGGCGGGGCGAGGACGTACGTGTGTCGGTAGAGCACCCGACTGCGAAGCACCCGTCGCTACTACCCTCGTGCCCCCGAGGTCGAACGGTACTCGCCGGGCCAAGTTTTTTGCCGACGATTTTTGAGACGCTGGACAAGGTCAAAGCGATTGCCAACCTTCTCCGGCTGAGATGCCAGCCCATGCCAGCGCATCGGTCGGCAACGTGTTGTTTGCGACACTTGTCGCTGCCTCCTTGACGCACGGCATCGGTTCAGTCGGCCACTTCAAAAGCTGGTGGACGCTCTCCGCATTTGGCCAGAACTGGGACGCCGAGGGTTTCTGCATCGCGCACAAGGGCACCGTGTTTGACTCTCACCTCCTTAGCTTGTACGGACAGATTGTTCTCGCGGCGGTCCTCTACGTCGCAGCTAGCAAGTCGTCGGCCACCGGCCGAACCGAGCTCGCCGTGGTGAGTGGACACGCTGAGTCGGTGCTCAGCCATGGTTTCGGACACGGCTTCATCTACCTCATCGCAGATGAGCGCGGGGGTCTATCGCGCGAGCAACCGCTCGTGACAGCGGCGACGCCGCTACTCATTGCCGCCGCACTGCTCTTGATCTCAGTTTTCTTCTTCTGGAACCTCTTGCAGCGCACCAGCTTCCCGCCGTTGCTACGCGCCGCGCAGGCGATCGTCGCCGCGTTCGTCATCCCCACCATGCTCCCCACCATCATGGTTTTTGGCATCACTGGGGCGTTAATCTTTGGCAATCTCCATCTCGATCTGTTGTGTCACGGGCGCGCCAGCGACGGAGCACAGACAGCTCAAACCTCGCGAAATCTCTCGACCTTTCACCCCGTCTCCAATATGTTGCCTGTAGGCTGTGTGGCAAGAAAGATCGCTTCTACGCGCTGTACGGCGCCTTCCAGTCCGTCAGCATGATCGCGATGTGGGCCGAGCCATTGCTCTGCGACTCTTACCTCGTGCGCTTTGGAGGCCATGCATTTTTCGACTACTCGATTCCGCTGGGCTTTCTCGGCTACCTGGCAGTCGCGTCGTCCTTGTCGCCCCGCGAGAAACAGGTGAAGGCCGCGTAGTCCGGGTGGGAGGGGCAAGTTGTCCCAAAACGAGAAAACCCCGAGCCTGTTTGGGGGAATGCACAAGATCGACGTGCGGAGCGGGGCGGTGGTGTCGCTGAGCGGCGCGAACGCGGGCCTGGTGCTGGTGCTGGCGGCGGTGTATGTGCTGGGCTGGGGGGCGATCCGGCGCGGGCGGGCGAGGAGAGTGGCGAGCAAGGAAGCAAAGGGCGATTGAGGTGATTGAGAGGCACAAGTCAATCCTCACTCTCACGATTCTCCTATAGAACGTGACGTGTACGTGACGTGTAACAAGGCAAAGAGAGCCAACAGCTCCGGCTTGATTTTCTTTTAGACTTAGCTGACAGCGTCGGCATCGGCCTACTCCCACGCTGGACACGCATCCTGCGAGTCGGCGAGCAATCGCGTAACGAGAGGGGCTCCGGCTTTTTCTGGCTTTTTGACGACGTTTTTATTCTCCCAGTCCCGCCGTCCTACCCCTCTCTCCCACTCCGCGCTTTACCACCGTCCGTACAAACCGCCTCTCAGCCAGAGAGGTCTGCCGCTGCTCATCAACATCGAGGCCCGAGGACGCAGGCTGTTTGCCATGAAGCCGCACGCGGCCGCGCACCACCCGCTGCACCCCATACTCCTCTGCCTCCTCATCCGAATCAGGCAAGCGTTCCTCGGGGTCGTACTCGCCATCCTCCTCCTCTGGGGCGGCCGGGTCCCCATTTGCTCGCCCCGCATCACGCACCTTATCTAGCACCTTCGCTCGCGCCGCCTCGCCGCGCCGCGCGAGAATGCTCGCAGCTGCCGACCCGATCTGCTGACCGGCGCCGGCATCTGGCTCGCACGATCTGCGCCCTCCACCGGAATTCGTATGCAGCATAGGCACCGGGTCTGGCAGCACCGGCTCAACGCCGCGCCCCGCGGTCGGTGCAAGCAGGGAATGTTCCCGCTGCTGCTCTGCTGCAGCCTCCAGTCGCGGTGCGGCCTCCGCACTCTCGGCGTTCGCCTCTCGCCCTGCTGCAGCATCCGTGCCCATCTCTGACAGCCGTTTGCCGAGCGCCTCCTCAAAGCATGCGAGAATCTTGTCGCTCGGAAGGCCAGTCTCGAGCACGTCGTCGGCAGCGCGGATGCTCGCCCGCAGGGCCGCCGTCCGTCGGTCGAGGTCTTAGCCTAAGCACGCTTTTCTCGCCAAGTACTATCTATATTCTTTTGCTTATATTCTCGCCAGACCATCTATATTCTCGAGAATATTCTCGAATATTGAGAATATTTTCCCCACGCGAGAGGTCAGCGGACGCCAAAAATCGCTCTAAAGTAGAGGTTTGTGCTCCCAAACCGCTCAGGAACGTCCAAAACTTAAAGATTTCCGTCTGCATCGACCCAAAACCTACTGTTGAGGGGGCAAAAGAGCTGCTTCGAGAAGCTGTAGTCAAGACCGTTATAGACGCCGCGATGTAACGTCGAGAATATTCAAGAATATCTTGACACTCGAGGTCAACCAAGGTCAAGGACTGAAGAAATCTCGTAGATTCTTGAGAAAAAGCCGCGCCGGGGCATCTATATTCTCGAGAATATTCTCGAATACGAAAGTGCGCGGGACCATCTATATTCTCGGAGATATTCGAGAATATTGTGCTTAGGCCAATCGAGGTCTCGTATTTGTTCTGGCAGCGTCGGCGCCGGCCTGCTCCCACGCTGGCCACGCATCATGCTGCGCTTCGCGAGCAATCGCGTAACGGGAGGCTCCCTGGCTTTTTGTGGCTTTTTGAACGGCTTTTTTGGATTCTCCCGCCCTCCCACCCATCTCTTGGATTTTTTTCAGTGTATGTAGCTCTTACGAACATACCCTTTTCATTTCGCGAGTAAGAATCCACCCTGGCCTGAACTTGAGTTCCTATTCACCAACTCATGTGGAGGCCGCGACAAAAATATATTTATTTGCGTCCCGGATGCGTCCACTCGATTCGTTCGTCGCACGATATGAAACAGAAACCTGGCGCGACAACAAGCGCTGCGTCTATATGCAGGGCTTCTTCCTCACGACCACCGACGACGGGCCCCTCAACGCCTCGGAGTCGCTCTCGCTGACCGTCCAGGACGAGCTTCGGGACGTCACTCGCAAGACCTTGGAGCGGCAGCGAGAGCTCAACTCGCTTCGAAGGGAGGTTGCGCGCGAGCGAGCGAGGTGGCGTCTAACAGGGTAGCCTGTAGAGTGCTTTGAGCTACATTGCCCCGAGATCTGCTCCGCAGGGCAAACACCGAGGTCCTCTACTCCCTCAGAGCCGCCGACGCCGCCTCGATCCGCGCCGCCGCCGACCGTCGCCGTGGCAAGGGCGATGCGCTGCGGTTAGTGCAGGTGGCACCGGAGGATCCGGAGGCCGTGGCGCACCAGTCATCCATCATCAATGAGAGGCTGAGGCAGAGCTGCGGCGCAGCTCCCGGCCCGGCCGACTGGAAGGTGCTCTTCTGCGCTGGGCTGCGCCTACCCCACGCAGACGCGGCGCCAGTTAGGTGCAGTACCGAGTCGGGCGCCGATGGTCGGCTCTTTTATCGCCAGTTTGTTCGCCTCCTCCGTGCCGTGCTCCACATCTCACCGGCCGAGCTTCCGCGGCCGCAGCTGGATGCGCTGTGGCGCGCCATTGACCAGGCCCCGCCTCCGGCCGGGCGGTCCCTGAGGAGAGGCACCTGACACGTCCTCGACACTGTGTCTAGGATGCGCTCGGCTTCATCTCGCGTGGCCAGTTCTGCGGCTTTATGCGGCGGGCGGCAGGCACGGCCGGCGCTCGCCGGAGGAGGCTCGCCGAGGAGCGGCACGCACGTTTGGAGGAACGCGTTGCCGCCTACGTCGCCGCGGAGAGGGAGGAGCTGGAGCATGCGAGGTGTGCCAGCAGCTAGCCGAGAGCCGTTAGCTAGGCCAGCTCTTGATCCTCCCTGCTCGATTGCCCCTCTCGCAGCCGTTTGCTCCGCCGACGGACGGACGCAAAGCTTGCCGAGCTGAGCAGCAGGGCCGAGGCGCTCCAGGCACAGGCAGGGACGGCGCGGGACTGGGCTATGAGCTCGATCGCGCGCGGCGCGTCCTTCCCCCTCGTGCCAGTGCCACAGGTGACAGCTCTGAACCTTCCTCCTCCACGGCCGCGCCTGCCCCGCGCAGCACCGACTGCCGCGCACGTGCGGCATCGTACCGTGCCGATGGCACTTTCCGACACCTCTCCTCGAGGACCGGCTTATGGGACGAGTTTACCGGCCGGAACGCTGCAGCGGGGAGGGGTGGCAGCGGCGGCGGCCACAGCGGGGTGGGGTGAAAGCATAAGGCAGGGGATGAATGCGCCGCTGCCGCCATCGCCGGTGCCTCTACACCAAATCAGCCGTCCGCCGCTATTCCAAGCGGCATTCGAGGCAGCGTTCGCCGCGGCGGCGGCGGCGGGCTAGAGCACTTTGAGAGTTGCGCTGTTTGTTGTTGCTGTACCGCTGTGTGTGCTGTGTTAGAGAGTGGCAAAAGGCAAAGTACACACGAGAGACGCGCCGACGTGCTTGTGTGTTGTGTCGGTGTCATTTCGTTTTTTCTTTTTTCTCGACTGAGTCACTCCGACTGGCTATAGATCACCAACAGATGGAGAAGCCATCCCTAGGGCACACTGACGTCACTAAAGTAAAATCACGCCCTCTCAAGCGCGTTGCGCACGCTCGCGTTGAACTCGGCGGGGGAGAACATCATTACCGAGTGGTCGCCCAGGCTGCTCTCCATCACATCGATGCTTCCACCGAGCCGCTCCGCCATCAGCGCGCAAAACTCCCATGGCACCGCCGCGTCATCCGCCGGACAGATGAATGTAATTGGGCCCAAGAACTTTTCGCGGAGCTCGGCGTCTGTCTTGGACTCATCGTAGTAAATCTTGAGCATGGGATCCTCCGCGGAGCGGGGAGGCGGCGCCATGCATCCCATCTCCTTGACCTGCACGTTGGCCTGGTGCAGCAGCGTCCTCAGGTTCCACACCTCTGGCGCCTTCTTCATCCACAGGTAGCAGCCTGCCTGCAAGCGCCCATCCATGTCGACAAAGGGCCGCGCGCGCAGCGCGTCGTCCGAAAGCCGCCCCTGCACTTGCGCGAGCAGCTTGCTGTAGTCGAAATCCTGCTTCATCCCGCCAAAGTTCCAAGCTTCGAGAAAGTCCTTTTGCAGCCGGTCCTGGGGGTGCACGCGGCTCTTCGGCGGTGGGAGGTGTGCCATGTGTCGCTGAGCGGCTTGCGTCGAGGCGTGTTGCGGTGGCGACACAGGCGGGAGTCGGCACCTCAGCACTCTCCGAGAAGAGGAGGCCAAAGGTCGTGCTAACCATGACGAGCGCCGTGACGCGCTCGGGGGCAGTAAAGGCGGTGTGCACGCCCACAGTGCCTACCACGAGAGAAGCATATACGACTCAGACTGCAAAGCGGTGCTCTCTGGCCCTACCTATCAGTGTCCCACCTCCAAACGAGTGGCACACCAGCGCCGTCTCCTCCACGCCCTCTGCGTCCAGGACGGCGAGCAGGTCCGCCGCAAAGTGCGCCGCACTGAAGACCTGTCCGGCAGGTCGACGGAGGTGACGGGCTGTCGAGGAGTGCGCCACTCTACAAGTCGGCATCCTGCACGGGGTCCTCAGCGTGTATGCGAGAGCCACCCCAGCCCCGCATGGAGATCATGATGCAGTAGTACGCCTTCTTGCTCAGAGGAGCCGACGACTCCGGGAGCCCCGGGGCGTGGAAGGGCACGCTGGAGGTCACAAAGCCTGGCGTGTTTGCCCAAAACGTAAACGCATTCCCTCCAGCGCCGTGCACCCAGGTGATCACTGGAGCAGGGGAGCCGTCCTCCGCGGTCTTGGAACCGCACGTAAAGTACTCGAGCGAACAGTCGTCAAGTTTGATCACCGGCATGCCGCCTGTGGTCGCTGATGTGTGATTGATCGCGCGCCGCCGGCGAGCGGCGAGTGTCGAATGCGGAATGGGGACGGACGCGCGGTGAGCGCCGAAAAAGTCGCGAAAAGCAGCCCTCGAAGGCCCACTCTGTCTCTGAATGTGTCCACTTATCTCATAAAAGCGAGACGAGCTGTCGATTTCTTGCGTAAAAGAAACAAGTTGGTCGCTGCTACACAGGCTCCCCCGCCTCCACCGGCCTCTCCTCCTGCGAGGGCTGCTCCACCGGGTGCTCCTGGTGCTCCTCCGGGTGCCAGGTCTCGGAGAGTTCCAGCCCGACGAGCTCCTCCGCCAACCGCTTGCTGTCTCGCCGGTCGCGCGTCGGCCCCGCAGCCGACGTGTACGCGTCCCCTTTCGGGCGGCGCTTGCGGCGCGCCCGCTCGACCACGACGCCGATCCGGCTGAGCGGCAGGTAGAGTCGGCCCGGCTCGGTCGAGGAGGTGCAGAGCACGCCGTCGACTCGCAGAGAGATGGAGGGCACGCGCGGGTCCTCTGGCGCCGCCGCCACCCGCTGCACCTTGACGTCTGGCAGCGCGTTCCCGAGCGCCGCAGTCACCTCTGCAGCCAGCGGTGCAAAGGCGGGGGCGTAGGCGAGGACTGCGCGCACGCGCCGCCCCTGCATCGTCTCGTACTTTGAGAGAGTGAGCTGCGGTGCGACCGGAAAGGAGCTCGGCGGCGGCGTCTGCGGCGGCGGCGCAAGCGGCGGCGCGTCTGCCGCCAGAGGCGCTGGAGTGCGGAGCGGCGGCGGTGCGGGTGGGCTAGGCGTGATAGTGCGCTCCTCGATCGTATCCGGCGGCTCCGAGACGCAGCGCGGGCCGCCCGCAGTGTGCGCTCGCGGCGGCAGGGGCGAGAGCAGCAGTGCGTAGGCGGCGGTGAGCGTCAGGGAGAGCATGTACTTGACTCGATGTCGCCCGGGCTGCTTGCACCGCCCAGCTGCCCTTCCGTCGGAGGATAAAAGAATTTTGATGTCCGGGCGGCGGCTTCCGAGGATAAAAGAAACTTGCGAGGCGTCGGTGCTCGAAACCTTGTGCTGTGGGCGGAGCCGGCAAGGCCGCTTCAGCTCGGTCGAACGGTACGAACGATCCCGTGACGAACGAACGCGTGAACAAACGCCTTCGGCAACACCGAAGAGAAGGCCCGCCGCCTAAACATGGGCTGCAAGGCGCGCGGGCAGCCCGGCCAACCCTTCTCCCACAAGACCGGCCACGGCTACGTCAAGGCGCATCGCGGTTTCTACCACGACGCGATCTTTGTCAAGCGCAACAACTTCAACCTGCTGCTCCACACGAGACGTTCGGCGGCGGCTTCTCGCCCACCGCCGTTCTCAAGCTGCGCCGCCTCGCGCGCAAAGTCGCGCGCGGCAGCGTTGACCGCACAGCCTACTCGCCCAAGTACTCGCTCTCTTTTATGTCCCACCATGCAGAGCGCATCTCTCTCTCTGTTGTGCGAGGCGTGAACCGCGCCATTCGCTCTCACCTGGCAACCCTGTCTGCACGTCTCGCGCACGCGTGAACAGGGCTCCAGGCCCCAAATGACGTGTGAGTGTTAGAGTTGTTTGGTATTGCTAAAAATCTAACGCGTGGGAGGCGGTGGCGCCGATGGCGACGGCTCGGATCCATCTCGCAGCTGCGGCGCTCGACGGCAAGCTGTACGCGGTGGGCGGCTACAACGACGACGACAGCTGCCTCAGCTCGGCTTGGTTTTCAAAAATCTCTCTCTCAGCTCGGTGGAGCGGTACGACCCGGCGACGACTGCGTTGGGGAGGCGCTGGCGCCGATGGCGATCGTGCGGTTTGATCCGCCGGCTTGTGCCCGTTCACAGAGACCGAACCGTCATTGCGCATTCCGATAGTGTGGGTCACCGGTTAACGCAAAAAAGCGCGCGCGTGACTGGAGAGTGCGTCTAGCGCTGCCGCCTGCCCACACTGACACGCAACGAGTGTGGCTCCACACCCGCAACATTTCAAGACCCCACATCGAAGATGCTCTCGTCCTCGTCGTCGTCCTCGTCCGCCTCTGCGCGCGCGCGTCCCGTGCCCCCAAGTTAAAGCCGTAATAGGGAAAGGAAGGAAAAAGGACATCCACTCGACACCTCGAGAGCCTCGAGAGCGTCACCACCCTTGTTGTGCCAGTGTGCTGTGAGAGGTGTGAGTGAGTACACACACACACAGGTAGGTAGGTAGAATACTGTTGAGAGGCTTGTATTTTAAGAGTTCTTCTGAAAAACGGCGTTTTGGCCGCGGGGTACATCTCGCGGGGTAGGAATTATTCCTACATCTTGGACTGGATGCTGAAGATTGCCTCGCTTCTGCTCGTCGCTCTGTCGACGTCTGCCCTGCCGGTGCGTCGCTCCGCCCAGCCGCACTTACTCACATGCAGGCTTGAACTTACACGCACCACACGAGTGCGCAGGCAGAAACCGTCGACGACATCAACCCAGCCGCTCGCGGCCTCGCCTTCGCGCCCAAGCCCTCTCCTCCCGTGCCCGACGTGGTCGACGACCCCGCCTGGCTCATCGCCACCTCTGGGTTCTGCTCGAACCTCAACGTCGTGATCAAGGAGCGCGACGTCGGGGCGAGCGAGACGGAGGGCGACACCGCGGCCCACTTCATCGCCGACATTGCCTTCAACTACTACCCGCAGACGGCGGTCAAGTTCACCGATTTCCCTCACCACCTCGCGAAGACCATCGAGGGCGACGCGGCTGAGGCGGACGCGCTGGTCTCGAGTGCGTGGGACCACAAGAACATCGCGCTGCTCGAGCCGACGTCCTCGTGCGGCGCTGGCGACCAGAGCAGTCAGGCGTGGGGGATCTCGGTCTTCAAAGTGGAGGAGCACCGCCACTGCACGGACGGCGAGACGGCGTGGGAGGGACATCCTTGCGTCCACTACTCCGGCTACGTCTCGGCGGCTACGTCCAACTTTGTCAACGTGAATGAGGGCCGGTTCGTCTGCCAGCTATTCGTTGACCCTTTTTTAGGCATGGCACTCTGAGCGCGCCATCGCGCCCGATACGGCCGCCCTGGCCCTGCGGACCTTCCCAGAGAGCTTGGCGAGGCTGTACAGAACGCCGAGAGGATACTGGGCAGGCTGCCGTCGAGCGACGAGCCATGCTGGCTCGTCGCCGGCAGCGAGCTCGATCGAAGACCCGCTCCGAGCTTCGCCGAGCCTGGCGGGCCCGCCCGAACGCCCGCGGCCGCAGGCAAGAAAGGCGAGCTTCCTGGCGTCTCTAGCCAGCGCTCACATGCATGCCAAAAGGCACAACATGCCAAAAGGCACCTCGCAGCGCGCGAGACACGACCGAAGCGGTACGCTTCGGCGCCGTGAGAGCAGCCGGTCGACGTGGGCACCAAGCGCGCGGCCGCCGGGCGCCTTCGCACCGACAGGGGCGCCACGGCAGTAGAGAGCACCTCTTACCGTAGTAATAACGAAGGCGTTGAAAAAAGAAACTGCCGCGTAACGAATTCGTGTACCCGCCTGAGAGGCTCAGGTTTGCCCTTGGCGGCTCCTTGCGACCGAATGCTGCAACCTCCGATCTCCACCCCCTCACCAGCCAAGTCCTGCCCCGCCGCCGCTCCCGCCGCCTCGCCAGCCAAGTCCTCCTCCTCCGCCGCCGCCTCGCCCGCCAAGCCCGAGGGCGGCTCGCGACGCCGGTGCAAGGACCCTCGCTATAAGACCGTCCTCTGCAAGAACTTTGTGGCTGCCGGGAAGTGCCCGTACGGCAAAAAGTGCCAGTTTGCGCACGGTCAGAACGAGCTGCGTGAGCGTCCTCCCATACCGTCCTCCCCAGTGGCACGAGACACGGCGGCGACGCCTCCGCCGCCCGCCTCTCCTCCGGCACGGGCCTCGGTGCCCACGACTCCAACCTCGTCACCGCCGACCACCCCGACGACGAGGCCTGGAGTGGTGTACGTGCCGATGACGGTCCAGGTCGACTCGGAAGGGCAGCCCATCCGCAAGGCGCCCAAGCCCTTGTTCCTCCCCGCCTTTGATAGCCGCTTCTCGCCGCCGCCGCTCGCCGCCGCCGCCGCCGCCTCGGCGCCCGACTCGCCGCTGTCGCGCGGGCGGCTCGGCCCCTCCTCCCCGGTGCCGACCGCCCTCACGCCGCCCGCCCGCCCGGTCGAGGGAGGCCGCTTCCGCCCCTTTGCCGAGCGGAGCGGCTGGCCGTCCGAGCCGTCTCTCTCGTTTCGCGGCTCGCCAGAGCTTGCGGCGGAGCACCGGGCGGCGGTGGCGACGCCGCTGGCGACGCCGCGCGCGGTCTACGCGCCGCACAGCGCGCTCGCCGCCGTCGACTTGGGCTCCCTCTCCCTGACGGAGCGAGTCATGTACATGGACAGCGCCGCAAAGGGAGCCGGCAAGGAAGTTGGCGCGAAGCCGGCGGGCAGCTCGTGCAGCGCCGTCTGCAGCGGGCTCGGAAGCCCGCTCGCAGCGGCGGCGCACGAGGGGGCAGGAGGCAGGGTGCCAAGCTCTCCGCTCCCCCCCGGACTCGCCTTCTCGGGCGCCGCCTCGTGGGGCGGCGCCGCGACGGCGGCGGCGACCGGCGAGTCGAACCTGCAGGCCGGCGGCCAGGTCGGGCGCGAGGCGGACCTGCGTGTGAACCGCTCGACTGGCCGCGTCGAGCTGCAGTCGGCGGTGTCTCGGAAGGCGTCCTTCAACACGAACGCGCTGCGGAGGCAGCTCTCCCTCGTCCTCGACCACGGCGATGACACCGACGAGAGCCGCGCCGTGCCCCTCCCTGCCGACCACGAGCAGAGCCGCCCCCAGCACGCACTCTTCGGGCGGAGATCGCTCGCCCGCATGGCGGAGGCGGCGATGGACGCGGCCGCGGCCGAGCCGGTGGTGTCGCCCGGGCGGACCGCCGCGCAGGGAGGCCTCCAGGTCAACGAGGGCTTTTGCCTCGACTCGCCGATTGTCGCCTGAGCCGCTCCGGCTCTGCTAAGGTGTCGGGCTCTGACGCGGCGTCACTCTGGGTCGGAGTCCACTCTGGTTCGGGCGGGCGGGGCCTGGCTCGCGGCCCGCGGCGGCGGCCGCTCTCCTCCCCTCCCCCCTCCCCTCCCCTCCCCCTTGATGCCGCCTATTCTGTCCATCGCGGTCTATTCTCTATTGACGCGCCGAGTCTCTTATCTCCACGCCTCGCCTCCCACCTCCCCTGTCCATTGTGTTCCGTTGGCGTGTGCGTGCTGTTAACTCGCGGCCGGGCCAGGTCGCGCGAGAGGTCTGCTCCGCAAGAGCACGGACCCTCTTTGGCCTGTGTGGCTTCCGGTGGACAGTGCGCCACTTGCTCATGTTGTGTGTAATATATTGGTGCAATTTGGGAGATGTGCATAACCATATGTGCGTGTATTCGTTCGTGTGTATCCGCCGTGCGCGCCCGAGAGGGCGGGCGTTCTATTTTTTGTGAATAAGTCCTGTGTATACACTTTCCTTCCTTACCGCGCTCCGCCAAACCGCTCTTGCAGTGCCATCTGCGCACCCTTTGTGTCTGGCAAAGCGCGAGCGCCTTGCCTCGCCAGCGGCACCTCCAGCTCCACCTAGCACGGCGGCACATCCCGCGCACCTCAGAGGACACGAAAGAAGCGCGCATCACAATGGACGCCTCTCTCAGAGTCACCCGCTCGCCGCTCGCATCGAAGCACTCGTATGGGCCTAGAGCGAGAGGGAGGTGCACCGAGAGAGCTCACAGACAGAGTGCTCGAAAGTGCGGCGGCTCGCGGCTCGTCGCTTCAGCCTGGGTAGAGCCGCGCCACCCCGCCCGTCACCGCCGAGAAGGCCGACATCGGCCGATAAAAGTACGCGTGCGGCAAGAGCCCGTTGGACAGCTGCCCGTTCACGACGACCAGGCCGGCGGCCGAAGCGGGCGGCTCGACCAGCGCCGTCGCCTACCGCAGTCGCGTCGGCAGTCATAGCGCTGCCAGCAACCCGCGGCTGTCACCGGCGCGGCTCGCCGCGTCCCACTCCTCGTCCAAGACGGGCGACACCACCACCACGACCTTGTCGCCCGCGCAAATCTTGAGCGCCTGCGCACGCAAGCCCGCGCGTCACCCAAAAGGCGTGTCTCTGTCTCACCAGCGCAGAATCATGTCCAATTCTTGACCCGCGCCATGCGCCTGCTTGGCGTCGCGCAGCGATAGGGCATCGCCGCCGAGTGCCGCGCGCGCGCCTGAGCTGCAACCGACCAGCACCGGCTCGCCGTCACACACGCTGCTGTCGGCCAGGCGTCCGCAGAGCTGCAGCGCAAACCGCGCGTTCGCCTCGTGCACCTTCTGTTCCGACGCCGCAGAGCCGTCGCTGCGCGCGTTGATGCTGGCGATGGGCGGGAAGTCCACCTAACGGGAGAGGAGGCAGGCTTTCAGGCCGCCGCCAAGACAGAGGCGCTGATGCCACGCGCTCCGAAGGTCGTCGCCTCCACTGCCTTCTCCGTCTCCAGGCTCTGCAGCACTCCCCGAACCGCCGTGTCGTAAAGGTCTTGGTAGGACGAAGGCAGGCCGCCCGAGACGCTCAACACCGGCTGATACACGTCAGCTGGGTTTGGCGGCGGAGGCGGCAAAAGTCGAGCAAAGAAGTTGGCCGTCGGTGGCGGGACGCGAGGCATCGGTGGGCGAGGAACTGCGGAGCGCCAGCCCTCGGCGACGGCGAGGCAGGTGAGGCCAACAATGCACATCACACCACGCAGGGTTTCGGCTCCTAGCCGATAGAGGGACTGCCGCCGCCAAACCTCAAAACAACTCTCTCTCTCTCTCTCTCTCTCTCTCTCTCTCTCTCTCTCTCTCTCTCTCTCTCTCTCTCCCAAACCTCCCGCCGAAGTGAAACAAGATCCCCAAAAAAACAAATACCAGAAGGCCAGCCAGTGTGGACAGACCCCCTACCCGGCTAGGAGCACGGGCATGAAAAGCGAACGATAGAGTCGCTTTGCAGGGCCCTATCTATGGGCCAAAAACAACAACTACGTACATATCTGGGAGGGGCCAGCCAGTGTGGACAGGCCCCTATCCCGTATCCGGCTAGGAGCCCGGGCCCAGGGTTCCAAGTTTTGCGGGGTCCCAGACCCGGCTGGGCCAGCGTCGGCTGGTCGAAAAAGGAAGGTACGAAAAGGGTGGGTATTTGTGTGTGTGTGTGTGTGTGTGTGTGTGTGTGTGTGTGTGTGTGTGTGTGTGTGTGTGTGTGTGTGTGTGTGTGTGTGTGTGTGTGTGTGTGTGTGTGTGTGTGTGACGTGAGGGTGAGGCGCTTGCGCCCATGGAGGGTAGGGGCGCATGCGTAACGACGCTGCTATAGAGATGGCAGATCCAGATGCCTCTCGGGGCCCACGCCCAGAGATAAAACGTCTGATGCCATGCGTGACCTAGTGTAGTGTCCCCAGCGATGGTCGTGTCCACGCGGGAGTCAGGTGTGGTGTGGACGCGAGCTCCGCCGTGTTCACGGAGGATGGAAGCAACCGATATGGCGAGTCGCATGGCGAGTCGAGTTCTCAAGTCGACTCTGGGCCGGCGCGGGGGCCCCAGAGGGTGTCCATGCGGGGGGGAGATGGGGTCCCATGGCCCGCCGCAGGCGCCGATTTTTTGATTTTTCTTTTTCGCGATTTTTTACTTGTTTTCATGGGAATTCGGCGTACTTGCGGCCATGCTATCACGCCTTGCGACAGCCTGTCGGCGCAGCTGACCGTGCCATGATGCACAATTGATCACCTGCATAGCTCGCGGCCTTAGTATCAAGCATTCAGTGACGACCTGATCGTACGGCCAGTAGGAAGGTGTCCTTCCAGCTGCGTGCACGCTTCTGGCGCAATGCGCGTCACCTCGGATTGGCTGCTGGCACTCTCGAGGCTATGCCTACACAGCCTCGCGCGCATGGGCAGTCAAGAAGGACCACGCACCTTCTCAGGACAGCGCCGGTGCCTCTCTCTTGGACCGGCAAACTTGGTGGTCTCGTGTCACCAATGTGGGACCAGTGCGGCATCGCGCCATCGACAGCTCTGAACTGCGCCTCACCACTGACCGGGAAGGCCGCCAAGTGGGCCAGCACAGGTCGCACATTGTGGCAGCAGTCAGCAGTGCATGGCTGATAGCTAGAGCAGCAGCGTCAGGGTCGCAGGGTCGGATCGTGTCAAGCCTCTCGCCCGGCCGGCCGCGTGCAGACGTCGTCGGCCTCGTCTGCTGTCTGGAGTTATCTGTCGGCGGTCAGTACGACCGATCAGGTCGGAGTTTTCTGGTGGTTGGAGGGTCTATCTGTATGTACTCCTCGAGATCTCTCCAAATCTGCCCTCTGTTAGACCGGGTTAGATCGGGAAGTTGGTGCTCTGAGCGACTCTGAGCGCCGGAGCCCCCCGTTTCCGCACTGCGGCACGGCGCACGGTGCCTCCGGGGGGCCCCGCGCCGGCCCAGAGCAAGTCGACTGTAGAGAGTGTAGATCTATGTCGTTATGGTTTCGTATCAATAATACTCACTGCTCACTCACTCACACTGGGGGGGTATGGACCAACATCAAAACGCACGCACGCCCCGGCCAGACTGTCGTCGGCCTCGCGGCCGAGGTTGACATGTGCAGACCACGGGGGCCGGGCAGCGTCAGGTGTGTCGTTGGCGAGGGCGTGCCACAACTCCTACGAGGACGCTGGCAACGAATGGGCCGTGCCAGTGAACCTTGGGAAAGAGAAGGTTCGCCCTGTCGCCGGTCCGCGTATGCCGGAGGTAGTTGTCGCACACGACCGACGCCTCCACGAGGCTGAAGGTCAGGAGCTTGAGGCGGAGCGGGAGATCCGCCGCCGGCCGTGTCCCGAGCCAAGCACCCAAACACGCGGCCAGAAGAACGACTGCAGCGGCACCCTCCCGCGCGTCGTCGAGCTGGGCGGACAATACCGCGGGCGCGAGGGTGATGGCGTCGCGCAAAAGGGCAAACGCGGCCGCGACGAGCAGCACGCAAGTCAGGCGGGTGCTGTCGCGTGTGCCGAGCATGTGGAGAGTGAGCAAGCCGGCGGCTGCACTCGCCGCCCCCCACCGGAAGGCTGGCACCGAGGACAGGTCAGACGTAGCGACCGCGAGTACGGCGCCAAGGAGGCTGCAGAGGAACAGGGGCCGTCGCCAGACAGCAGCGCGCACGGAGGCCCGTGCACCAGGCTCAGACGTGACCGTGCTGAAGAGCGGCGGCGATGGGGGCACGGATGGAGGCTCATCTTCTGGTTGGCCGGCGTCCCGCTCGAGATCAACGGAGATCTCCGGGAGGCAGGGCTCGAGGTCAGACGCGTCCGCCGCATGCGCCTCTGAAGCAGACGTTTCGTGGATCAAAGCCATCGCACGCTCGGGGTCGGAGAGCACCTCGTCCGGCGACATCACCGTAGCGAGGTGAGGCACAAGCGCGAGCACCCCCTGGCACAGCCTTTTCGCCGTGATGGCGAGCTGTATCCTCTCCTCTCCGAGCTGCGCGAAAAGCTGGCGCTCCCTCTCCTCCTCGGTCTTTGCCGCCTCGTCTGCGGATGCCCTCGGCGCCTCGGTGCGCGTCGCGCCGACGGCCAGCCCATCGGCAGTCTCCTTCGCTGGCGCCTCGCGCTCCTCCGACGCAGCCTCAGGAAACTGCGATGGCCCAGCGAGGCTGCCGCCTGAGGGCTGCATGTCACACGGGGAGGACACGATATTTCGCAAGACACGCTCTGCATCTCGAAACATTCTCGCCGCCGCCTACATTCTCGGCTAACCTCGGAATGTAAGCGCACAATGGCTGTGCTGTCTCCTACACAGCCATCTTACCTAAGGATGGCTGAGCTAGCTGCAGTGCAGCCATAGCCTCCAGGCCGATGGCTGCAATACACACAGGGCAGCCATCCTGAGTAGGGATGGCTGGAAGCTCGCTGCTGCAGCCATACCGCACGCCCCGGGGCGGGCCCTCATGGCTGAGCTGGCTATATCGCAGCCATCTTGGGTAAGATGGCTGGGCCACAGCCATTTCAGCCATCTACTATGGCTGGGGCACAGTCAGTGCAGCCATCCTCCGGAGCATGGCTGATAATTCGATGGCAGCCGTCCGCCGCCCCCGCCACACGCACAAATGGCTGCGCGCTTGCCGCCCCCGGCCTCGCGGGACGGCTGCCATTGGCTGCGCCATCGAATTATCACCAGGCAGCCATGGCTCTGGAGGATGGCTGCAATCTCTGTGCCCCAGCCATAGTAGATGGCTGAAATGGCTGAAATGGCTGTGTCCCCCAGCCATCTTACCCAAGATGGTTGCGATGTAGCCAGCTCAGCCAAGAGGGCGGTAACCGGTATGGCTGCGGTAGTGCGTCTCCAGCCATGTGTCTACTAAGGATGGCTGCCGTGTGCGTGTTGCAGCCATCGGGCTGAAGGATGTGGCTGCACTGTAGCTAGCTCAGCCATCCTTAGGTAAGATGGCTGTGTAGGAGACAGCACAGCCATTGTGCGCTTACATTCCGAGGTTAGCCTACATTCTCCGTCTCGAGTATTAACCTCCCCTGCACCCGGGGGGGGGTGTTTCCTAGTGGCGACAGCATACTTGGGAAATAACGACACGGAGGACGCCTCAAAAGTGGTGCGGGACGCGGTACGAACTAGAACATGCATGACACGGCGAGAAGGGAGGCGGCAGAGGACACACACAGCGAGAAGAGGGAGATAGTGGACCGATGGACGTACGGGCACATGTGTCAGAGCGCGCACGAGTGGGTGTGCGGACAATTTCGAAAGACGGTGAGGCCGGGATCGCACACGGCAGGGGTGGCGGGACGGCTGTGGAGCGAAGTGGCCGTAGCCAGCCTCAAACACCCATGGGACAATAAGATGAGATTGCCAGATGAGGAGATGAGAATGGGGGGAAGGACAGGCGGGCGACATTCGACGACGTCGGGGGTCACAATGTGACGACCAAAACGATCCTGGGAGCCAGGGTGAGACAACAGGTCGGGGTGCCACATGGGGCACACCACAGGCGCATTCTAGAGGGGGAAAAGAAACGGGGAATGAGGGGCCCCGCCACGAGGAGTGCGTTTTGGGGATGCAGAGCGTGCAAGGCGGCTAGGGATGAGGCCGCAAAAGAGGCGCGCGAGACAAGGAGGAGAATCGGAGAACGGAGAGACTGGGACGACTGGACACAAGAAGACAGTGAGCCACCACAGGCGTCGTTGGCTCGAGTCGTTGGCGCACATACTGAGCGGCAGCTGCGCTGGAAATACTGTTAAAAAAAGTAACAATACAGGGTTCGCGAGGGGGGTCGCCGAGGCGCCGAGAGCGCGCGGGGAAGCTCGCAGGGCGTTGGGGTAGCTATGCCTCACGTGCAGCGCCGACGGTCGGGGTCGACGGAGCACGCCAGCGGCAGGAGAGCGCCTGGGTCCCAGTGGGACCCGGGTCCCAATATTCGTTCCGGTCCCATTCGGGTCCCATTTGCGATTGACATGTCACAGTACCAGTTGCAAAATGTCACACACATATGGGCCAAATGTCACGGGACGTACGCGGGGGCAAGCAAGGGGATTGAGGACTGGCGATTCACATGGAGGGTGCCCACCGCGGCGGACGCCGCGTGAAGGGTGGCGTCGTGGGCAGCAAAAGCGAGGCGAGCGCGCGACAGAAGCGTGCGCAGTGTGGTGCTGCGGCGTCGGGCCGGCGAGGGCAAGCCGTGCAGATTGCCCGTGCAAAGGTAGCGGAAGCTTCGAGCGAGGATAAGGCTGTCGAGGAGGAGGTAGCGCGAGCGATGCAGCAAGGCAATGGCCTCGTGCAGGCGACGCTTGAGCACCTCAAGACGGCTGAGCGGTCGTGGGATAGGTTCGTCGAGCTGGGCGGCGAGGTGATTGACGGGTATCCGAGCGAGGTGCAGGTGGTCAAGTACATGTCGAAGATGTCGCGCGAGCGGCAGCGCATGTGTCTCGCGCAGCGCGGGGTGCGGCGCAAGGGCGTGCAGAAAAATGCGGTTCGCAACTACGTCGCTGAGATGGCCAACAACCTTTGGCAGACAAAGTACCCCGCGTTCGGCGAGCTGAGCGTGGCAGCGCGGCGTGAGTACTGGTCGACGATCTTCCGGGCGTACAAAGCCATGTACGCGTCCGCGTCCGCGCCAGCTGCGACCATGGAGGACGAGGAGCGCGCAGAGCAGCTCGTGGCGCAGACCGAGGAGGTGTACAAGCGGCAGCACGTGTACCGCACGGAAATCTTCCAGCTGCAGGACCTCTTCATCGGCGAGCAGGAGAGCATCGAGAGCGTGCACGAGGCCCTCATTACGCATTCGGCGTTGGCCATCATGCAGAGCTCGGCGGCACGCATCGGCATGATGGCGAAGACGCGGCACGATGAGCGCACCGTGCGATGGAAGAAGGAGAACCCGCTGCGCGTGCGTGATGTGGTGAGCGCGCGACGCAGGAGCGACGGGATGCGTGGTGTTTGTGAGCCGCTCTAACGACGCGTGCCGTCGCGCTCTCAGGTACACAAGGTGCGCAAGCTCGTGTTGACAAAGGCCACGGGCGTGTGCGCTGGCGAGGCGACGTCACAGATGCAGCTCAACTGGCGACGGGTGAAGAAGGAGTACTTCTCGGTCTACCTCTTGCACCGGTTTCCGCTCGGCGGTGACGGCCAACGCGAAAAAGAAAGGAAATGAAAACGTGGGCGGGGGTGCTGTGACCCCAAAGAAAAGAATTCATCATGTGACTTGAGTCAGTCTAGTTGCGTCTACAACGGCGGCGCAAAGTCGCCCTCGAACTCCTCGCGGTCGCGCTTGCGCGCCGCGCCTTCCGGACCATAAGAGCCGAGCCCGATCTGGGCCCGCTCCAGCCAGCCGTAGAGGAGGGGGCGGCAGCGCTTGTAGGCCAGAGCCCCGTCCGCCGCCTCGTACCAGCGCATCTTTGCGGGCGAGAGGCGGAGCAGGACACAGGTGTTGAAGGGGGGGAAGGCGTAGGGGCGGATGGTGGCGGTGGTTGGCACGGTGACGCGGGACAGGGCGGAGCCGTAAAAGGCCCAGCTGCCGACGGAGGTGAGGGTGGCGGGGAGGGTGACGGAGGAGAGGGCGGAGCAGCCCTCAAAGGCGCTGCTGCCGATGGAGGTGATCCCGGCGGGGAGGGTGACGGAGGAGAGGGCGGAGCAGCCGCGGAAGGCGTAGTTGTTGATGGAGGTGAGGCCGGCAGGGAGGTCGATGGAGACGAGCGAGGAGCAGCAGTCGAAGGCGCTGCTGCCGATGGAGACGAGGCTGCGCGGGCAGGCGACCGAGACGAGAGAGGTGCGGCCAAGGAACGCACGGTCCGGCAAGTGCGTCATGCCTTCGGGCAGCACCGCGTGCCCGTCGGTGATGACGAGGTGCCAGCCGCCCACGTCCAAGGTCTCGGAGCCGTCGACCGCCTCAAGGTTGATGGCCCGCACTGCTGCCTTCGCTTCGTCGTTGAGGGGGCAGGCGGAGAAAGCACAGTCGCCAAACGAGAGGCCATCGGGCAGCGGCAGCGTGATCGAAGAGAGGTAGGAGCAGTTCCAGAAGGCGCCCTCGCCGATGGATGTGAGGCCGGCAGGGAAGGCGACGGAGCCGAGGGAGGAGCAGCCCAAGAAGGCGCGGCTGCCGATGGAGGTGAGGGTGGCGGGGAAGGTGACGTGGGTGAGGGCGGAGCAATCTTGGAAGGCCCAGCTGCCGATGGAGGTGAGGCCGGCGGGGAAGGTGGCGGAGACCAGGGCGGAGCAGCCGCGGAATGCTTGGTTGCCAATGGAGGTGAGGCCGACAGGGAGGGTGACGGAGGAGAGGGCAGAGCAGCGGTAGAAGGCGCTGCTGCCGATGGAGGTGAGGCCGGCAGGGAGGTTGATGGAGACGAGCGAGGAGCAGCAGAAGAAGGCTTGGTTGCCGATGGAGGCGAGGGTGGCAGGGAGGGTGACGGAGGAGAGGGCGGAGCAGCGGGAGAAGGCGCGGCTGCCGATCGAGGTGAGGCCGGCGTGCAGATTGATGGCAGCGAGGGAGGAGCAGCCGACGAAGGCGCGGCTGCCGATGGAGACGAGGCTGCGCGGGAAGGCGACCGAGACGAGAGAGGTGCGGCCAAGGAACGCACGGTCCGGCAAGTGCGTCATGCCTTCGGGAAGCACCGCTTGCCCATCGGCGATGACGACCTGCCAGCCGCCCACGTCCAAAGTCTCGGCGGAGCCGGGCGGCGGCGCGGTGCCGCTCGGCGGCATCGAAAGCGAGGCGGCACCCATCGTGAAAAAGAATTTGCGGCTGTCGGCATCATCCGTGAAGGCACAAGTGTCCGAAGAGAGAGTGGACCTGAGCAACGATATGACTGGGCGGCAAATGATCGCAGTGGGCGTCAGAAGACTCGTCCTTGCGCGAGGAGAGCTCGATAGACTCGAGGGGCCAGGATATGCAGCGAGGAGGGCGGAGCTGCGCCGAAAGGAGCAAGAAGCCGCGAGAACAAGGGACCGGCAGGCGGCGGCGGCGTCGCAGAACGAGGCAGAGGAGAGCGACGCGACAGAGGAAGAAGTGACACAAGGGAAAGGAACGTGTGTGTGTGTGTGTGTCTCGCGCCTTGCGGGGGGGGAGCGGAAAGGAGGAACCTCTTCCCAAGAGCACCACTCTTGGAGCGCCGCCACTACCACCCAGAGCGCTGCAAGCAGCGCCGGGCAATGACGGCTTACCGCCCACCCAGCCCCCCCTCGGCACACCCCGGCAGCCAATGTGTGACGGCTCGAACCCGCTAAGCCATCCCGCAAGCGGGATAGCCCGCCACTCGAACCCGCAAGCGGGCGTACGAACCGCGAGCGGCTCGCACTCGTGACACGCAGGCGTCCGCCAGACGGCGCCGGGGCTAGGCGACCGAAGAGGAACTACGGCAAGAACCGCACACCACCCGCTGACGAGCGCTCGCGGAACTGGTCTGCGGCGCCCGCCAGGGGCGTGCGCGAGACAGGGCTCGAAGCCCTTTTCTGTGAGCAGGGATTCCCTCCCGGCGGGGGTTGTGGCGGAGAGCCGGCATGGGAATCGCCGGCCCCCACCCAGGGGGTGCCCCTGCCAGGCGCCGCAAGCGGCGCCCGACAGGGGCGGGTGCCCCCACCCCGAGGGGTGGGGGCGGGGGCGGGGCCCAAAGTGATTCGGCCTATCGCCTCGGCAAGGTCCTCGGTGCGATTCTCCACGGTGTCGTCGAGCGAAAGCGCGGTAGCCGCGGAGGTAATGACGTCGACATCGGTGGAATCGGCTGGGTCAACGTCAATGTCGATAGCTCTTTCACGCCGGATCCCCTTGTTGTCTCCGATGTGTCGCGCCTGCGCGCTCGGCGTGTATGAAATCCATATCACCCCCTGCTCCACGATGGGGGCTTTAGGCGACGAGGGCGGGGCGCTAGGCGGCGGTTCGTTTTCGGGGGAGTCGGGTGGGTCATCGGCGTAGCTAGAGGCCCCATCACCGATGTCGTCGAGTGGGATGGTTGTACCTCCTCCGTTAATACCCACGTCGTCGCCCAAGGAAGAGGCGCGTTACTTCATGCGGAAGCTTGACAAACACGCGGCGAGGGCAACAGCAAGAGTCGAACGGGCGGCGCCTGACTCAAAAGACACAGCCGCATTCCTCAGATGCGCGAGGGCAGCCTCCTTAACAAGGCAATGGGGTCTAGATTTGGAGCGCTCGCCGAAGAGGAGTACGACAAAATAGCGCCCGTGATTGCCTGCACGCTGCCCGCACTCACGGACTCCATACCCGAAAGAAAGAGAGGGGAGCTCGCAGGAGAGGTGACGAGTGAACTACAGGTAGTGGGGAAGGCAGCCTCGATCGCCATACAGACATGGGTGCGAAACAACGACAAGACCAAGGCACGGGCAGAGGAACGAGAGAAGAATATAGGGTGGATAAAGCGCCTGTTCACGGCATGGAGGGTGAGCCACGCCGAACGTATAGAGCCGAAAACGGGAGGAAGCCGGGGAAGAAGACTCCGAGGAGGAGAAACACCGCAGTGGTAATGTGGTAATCCCGTCGTCAGCTGTAACGATGCACCCGAAGGGGACCCCAGCGCCAACACCGACCGTGGAGGTACAAGCGTTCGAAGAGAGAGAGTGGACCTGAGCAACGATATGACTTGGCGGCAAATGATCGCAGTGGGCGTTAGAAGAGTCGTCCTTGCTCGAGGAGAGCTCGATAACTCGAGGGGCCAAAATATGCCGTGAGGAGGGCAGAGTTGCGCCGAAAGGCGAAAGGCGGGAGAAGCCGCGAGAGCAAGGGATCGGCAGGCGGCGGCGGCGTCGCAGGATGAGGCAGACGAGAGCGACGCGACAGAGGAGGAAGCGACAGGAGGGAGAACGACGAGAGTGGGACGACCGCGAGGTGGCATGAAGGTTGCAGCGAGAATCGGCGAGGGACTGCGAAGGGAGATAGAAAGAGGCAGACGACCAAGGGTTAGGGTGGGCGACGGCTAGCACCACACTCCTCTCCTTAAAATCCCTGTGTGGTGGCGGCGTGCCGTCCTCCCATCCCTCCCTTGGGTTGTCTGTTTTCTTTCTTTCTTTTGGTGTGTTTCCTTCTCTACGAAAAAAACACTCCCAGACAGCGCCATCGAGAACAACGACTTTGTTTGGCGGCCAACGCAGCCGACCGAGAGATAATTAATCTCTCATCCAGGAAAGGGGTTGGGAATAACTTCGTGTTCTTTGTCTGTGTAAATAAATCAAACAACCATGTGGTTTGCCTGTGATAGTGCTAGCACGCGCCAGTCCGCCTGTGTCGAGCCTGTCTGCTGGTAGAGAGAGTTGTTTTGTTAAATCAAACAACCATTGTGGCTACGTACGAGCTCGTAGCCCGGAACCGACCCTCTTACGCGTACGTTCTCTCCACGTACAGTGGGTTGCGGGCATTAAGAAAACGTCGCATTAAGAAACCCTACCAAGCGATTTCCGCAAAAATCTAAGAAACCACGGGGCGCCGCAGGCGCGGCCCCGAGAAAAGGCCAGACACGAGTGTGAACGGGTCCGGAGCCCCAGCTGCAGCTCAAAATTTCTCTTCGCCTGGGCCTGCGGCAGCGCACTTGTCACTTTTCAAGTCTGCGGTGTTCTGAGTGGAGTGGTCAGTGGATGGAGGCGTGTGTGCGTCTTCCCCTCATCCAGAGAGCCGACTCGGCGGCAGACTCTTGGCATCGCCCTCGCGGACCGAGCTTTAACACTCTTCTTACCTAAAAATCCTTCGGGCCGGCGCTCTGGCTTGATTGAGTGCCCGCCCGGAGCTAAGAAACCACGGCGTGGGGTGGATGAGGGCTGTGGAAAGGCTTAGAAACGGCGGCGTGCCGCGGGATCCTGTTTTCTTAATGCCCGCAACCCACTGTATGCTTCGCCCGCCGGACGAAGCGGCGCGCCCAACACCGCAATACGCCCCCCTTGCCACTGCCCACGGGCCTGCTCACCCGGCACACACACCCAACGCTTGGCATTGACCCCGGCCGCGATGGACCACCCTCGAGCCTCCGGGATGGGTGGCGCGCAGCCAAACGTCAGCGCGATCGCGAGCTTCTTTACCGCTCCGGGCGGGCACGCCGCGTCTAAATTTGACGAGCAGACCTGCCGTCAGTTTGAGGACGACGACGCGGCGCCTTTTGCGCTTGATGACGCCCCGCTGGCCACAACCTCGTTGCGACGCTTCTCTGTGAATGGCACCATCACCTTCACAGTGGTGTCTCTGCATGGCACCGCTGTAAAAGCACGGTCGGGCCGTGGCGCGCCTGGGCGCCGCCTCGCGCAGCCGCCGGAATCCTTCTCGCGGCTTCTCGTGCGGTTTGTCGAGTCCTTTGCGAGGGCCGTGCCGGGTGCTCTTCCGATGGTGGTGTGCTCAGACGAGAACACGCAGCGAACCGCTGGGCAGCTCCTCGACAGCGCTCAGAATGCGGCGAACAAGAAGCACCAGCGCGTCCTCCGTGCTTCGCTCGTCCGCCACGCGTTGGGCTGGCCAGGCATGCCACAGCCGTTCCGGCGCGTGGCGAGGAAGGATGAGTGCGGCCGAGGCAGCTTTGGGCCGTGCGACCGCAACCTCGACCCGTCGGTGAACCTCAAGTACCTCTACGCGTATTGGGTTGTGCGGCGCGGCTACCGTGCCTTCTTCCTCGACGCGGACACAGAGGTGCATCGGCCACCCGCGGCCTACTTTGGCGCGCAGCTGCGCCTCCGTGCACGAGGCGCCGCCTCTGTGTACGAGCTGCACGACACGGAGCCGCAGCACATGCCAGACCTGCTCGCTCAGCTCGACATGTGGTGAGCGGCTCGCAGAGATGCGACGGAGAGGCGACAGCGATGTGGGCGGAGATGCGCTGAGGTGCGGCCCCGCCTGTCTCCACGCCGAGTCTCTCTTCACACGGCAGTTGCGCGTGCGCAGGTGGCCCGCGGACCTCGAGGCGAATCGACCTCGCCTCTCCTCGCGCCCACTGCGGCCCGTTTCGCCCTCCGCGCTGCCGCGCTGCAGCTTCGGCCCCAACGAGTACCGCTTTTGCGAGCCTTACGGCCGCTTTCTCTGCCTCAATTCGGGGATGATCCTCTTCCAGCCGACGGCGAACACGGAGCTCGCGCTGCGCAAGATGCTCATCGCGCTGACGAATTACTGGGACAGCTGGTGGGAGCAGACCCTCTTCAACTGGTTCGTCGGCCTGCAGGTGCGGCGGGGCAGGCTCACCTTCGACTACCTCGAGCCGACCCTCTTCCAGTGGGCCTCCGGAACGCCCTCCGCCGCCAAGGGACTGGCGGTGTCACACACGCCGGCACCCTGGCTGGCCGACCGCGTGCGGCAGAGGCTTCCGCGGCGTTACTGGGCGGACTCGGAGCACATGCCGCCGCGTGCAGACGCCCCACAGCCGCACAACAAGATGAAAACCACAGCGAATAAACGCCTCAGGAACGCCACCGGCACCGTTGACGTTGCCGCTCCGCAATACCAGCACCAGCACCAGCTGCGCGCCAGTTTGCGCGTCCGCTCACAAAACCCCCGATCGCTCTGAGAAAGGCACAGGTGATACAGAGGGGCAGGCAGAGACGAGAGAAGCGATGTGCGTGTGAGGCGTGTGGCGCGGTCTACGCACTCGGCTTTACCCACAAGCAAAACCACGCCCCTTTGCGCTTTGGCGTTTTTTTGAGGGGCCTCTTAGCACTTCGTTTAGGCTCGCTTTGCTCTTACCCTCTTTGAAGAGCATGTACTTCGAACTGCTTTTGTTGTGTGAGTTAGTTGTATCCTTGTGCGAGAACTAAGGTGTGTACGAACAGAGCTCTTTTTTCGACGCTTTTGTCCCGATACATTGCCGTAACGCGTAAGCACTGTGGGCGAGACTGGGACGGTGTGGGGCGTGGGGGCTGGGGGGGGGGGCACGCACGACGGTCGGACGCAGGACGCAGATCGCACAGTACACCACACAGTCCACACCAGCGTACAGCGCTGGGCGCAAGGCGTGGCTGTGAGCAAAAGAGCCGACGCATCCGCGCAGGGGACACAGCGGAGCGTCCGTGTCGGCGTCACCTGCGTGCATCCGTTCTCAGAGGCCGCCAGAGTGGATGCTCGAACACACACACCTCTGAACTCACAACCAGCGCGCCGCCGCCTCTGACGAGAGGCCGGCAACGATGGCGTCGCCGGCAGCATCGCCCGCCGATGCCGCAGCCTCTGACGGCTTTCCCTCCTCGCAATCCTCCTCTGCCTCCCCCTCCTCCGCCATGGACTTTTCGACGTTGCGTGCGAGGTCGAGAGCGGCGTGCTGCTTGTCGAGGAATTCGCCCGTCGCCTCGAAACTCAGCGGCGCGACATGCGGCGGCTCGGGATCCGTCACGAGGGCTGGGGCGACGCGAGTTGTGAGGGGAGGGGGACTCACTCTCCCTCCTCCCGGCGGCGACCTCCGCCTCTGCAGCCCCCGCCCTCTCCTCGCTCGCGCTCGCTGCGGCTTAGGCACGCTCCAGCGCCACCGCCGCCGCCGCCGCCGCCGCACAAGCCTCCTCCGCCGCGGCGCGCTCAGCCTCTTGCTTGGCCTTATGGGTTTTAGCGAGATCGATCAGATTCAGCAGCAGAGCCGGGTGCTCCTCCTCCTCCCCCTCCCCCTCCTCCTCCTCCTCCTCCTCCTCCCCCTTCGCCCCCTCCCCCTCTTCCTCCTCCACCTCCGTCAGCGCCGGCTCATCGCTCGGCGGCGGAGGGAGCACCGTCAGCGTGAGGGGCCCCAGGCTCGCCAAAGCCCCCAGCGACTCCGTAGAGTTCCCTGAGACACGGAGCCCGTCCACTGCGAGGACGGCCGACAGCAGAGGCACGCCCAGCTCGAGCGCCGCGCCCTCTGCGGCCTCGACAGCGATGCCACCGCCCCCGGCCGGGTCGTCTGCCAGAGTGAGGCCCGTCGGGCCGGCGGGGAAGGAGAAGGTGCGCGGCTCCTCGCTCTCCGCCAGCATGCTGAAGCCCGCTGGGCCGGCAGGCCCGTGCTCATACGGCGAGGAAGAGAGCGGAAGGTCGGCAAGTGGCTCGGCCATCCGCGTCCACGTCCCTCGCCCCGGTCCTCGCCGCCGCAGCGACGAGTAGCCGAGGAAGAACCACGCGTAGAGGGAGGTCAAGACGCAGCCGGACAGCACAGCAAGGAGGAAAGTCCCTATCATCTGGCGGTGCTCGTGCCCTGGAAGCGGGGGGCAGGGGGGGCACGGGCGCGAGAGCAGGGTGAGAGACGCTGGGCGAGGGGCACGGGCGGGGGGGCCGGGGGGGGGGGGGAGTGTGGCGGGGAGGGCGGAGGAGAGCAGGGTGAGAATGAGACGCTGGGCGAGGACACGTCCATGGCGCGTCCACGGTACGTCCACGGCGATGCATGTCCGGCGCACGGCTCGCATGCGTGTGGCGCTGTGTGGAGCGCGGCAGTGGGGCAGCTCAGGGCAGCGGAGCCCTGCCGAGACCATCACGCCGAGGAATCTCGGTCAACCTCGGGTACCCTCGGGTACCCTCGGGTACCCTCGGGTCCTCGGGTCACCTCGGGTGCGTCATCTCTCGGGTCATCTCTCGGGTCATCTCGGGTCTCATCTCGGGTCATCACAAGTATTGTGAAGACCTGCCGAGACAATCAAGTCGAGAACGGTCGGTGGCGGCGAGGGTGGCGGGGATGGCGGCGGCCCCGGCGGCGGGGGCAACGGAGCTGGCGACGGAGGTGGCGGCAGCGGCGGCGGCAGCGGCGGTGGCGGCGGCGGCGGCGGCGGCGGCGGCAGCGGAGGCTGCTGTGGCGGCGGCGACGGCGGCGGCGATCGCGGCGGCGGCGATGATGGCGGCGGTGGCGCTGGCGGTTGCGGGGAAGGTGGCGGCGCTAGCGGTTGCGGGGAAGGCGGCGGGGAAGGCGGCGGGGAAGGCGGCGGCGGCGGCGCCCGCGGTAGCAGCCAATACAGCGGGGCTGGGGGAGGCGGGGCTGGGGGAGGGGGAGGCGGCGAGAGGGGCGGCGGCGGCGGGTCCGGTGGCGGCGCCAAGGGGGGCGGGCGTGTGGGCGGAGGGCGTGTGGGCGGCGGCGGCGAGGGCGGCAAGGACGGCGGGGACGGCGACGGCGGCGGGGACGGCGGCGGCGGCGGGGACGGCGGCAAGGCAGGCGGGGGCGGTGCGGGCTGTGGCGGGACGGCAGGCGGGGTGGGCGAAAGTGGCGGCGACGGCGGCGGCGGCGGCGCGAGCGGCGGGCGCGGGAAAGTGTGCACGACCTTGGCAAGGATGGGAGGTACCTGAGAGGTGCGAGAGGCGAGGTGGCGAGATGTGTGGTGGCGAGGTGTGTGTGGGGCAAGGGGGCTTGGCTCCCCCTCGCGTCTCCACCTCTCCACCTCCCACGACAGCCCCCCACGACGCAGCGGAGCCCCCCGCGCGCCGCGGCACCTCAAGGCCCGGTGCGCGTGTGAGCGGAGTGCAGCACGCGAGAGTGATATACACAGAGAGAGAGAGCGAGCACCTCGAACGCAATCGAGCTCGAGCAGACGTCAGAGCTCGCACACAGGCTGCGCATGAAGTTCAGAAAGACGTTGCCCGCACACCAGCGCACGCTGAAGACGCACAGCGGCGCGACCTCCCCCCGACTCGCCGTCATCGCCTGATGGACTTCTTTCCCGGTCGGCCCGGGCACGCCGGGCAGCTCCACGATCTCCACCAACGCAGATTCGCCGCCCCGGAGAAGGGTGACGCCCGTCATCTGGCCGACCGCCTCCCTGGACGGGGCACCGGCGGGGATAAGCATCAAGAGGACGTCGACCACGATCGCCCGCAACATCACGTCTGGCCGACCCTGCGCCTGGCTTGGCAGGAGCCCGAGGTCGAGTTGAAACCGCACCGAGGGCAGGTAGGTGTCGCCTGGGGGAAGAGGCGGCGGCGGCGCTGCAGGCATTGGCTGCTGGGGGGGAGCGGACGGCGGTGACGGTGACGACGGTGGCAACGGCGGAGGTAGATGCGGCGGCGAAAGCGGCGGTGGCGGCATCGTGGGTGGCGGTGACGAAGGAGGCGGGACTGACGGGGGTGGTGACAAAGGCGGCAGCCTCGGCGGCGGCGATGGTGGCGGCGGTGGCGGTAGCGGTTGCGGGGAAGGTGGCGGCGCTAGCGGTTGCGGGGAAGGCGGCGGGGAAGGCGGCGGGGAAGGCGGCGGCGGCGGCGCCCGCGGTAGCAGCCAATACAGCGGGGCTGGGGGAGGCGGGGCTGGGGGAGGCGGGGCTGGGGGATGCGGCGAGAGGGGCGGCGGCAGCGGGTCCGGTGGCGGCGCCAAGGGGGGCGGGCGTGTGGGCGGAGGGCGTGTGGGCGGCGGCGGCGAGGGCGGCAAGGACGGCGGGGACGGCGACGCCGACGGCGGCGGCGCGCGGCGGCAGGACGGCGGCGGCGACGGCGACGGCGGCAAGGCAGGCGGGGGCGGTGCGGGCTGTGGCGGGACGGCAGGCGGGGTGGGCGAAAGTGGCGGCGGCGGCGGCGGCGGCGGCGCGAGCGGCGGGCGCGGGAAAGTGTGCACGACCTTGGCAAGGATGGGAGGTACCTGAGAGGTGCGAGAGGCGAGGTGGCGAGATGTGTGGTGGCGAGGTGTGTGTGGGGCAAGGGGGCTTGGCTCCCCCTCGCGTCTCCACCTCTCCACCTCCCACGACAGCCCCCCACGACGCAGCGGAGCCCCCCGCGCGCCGCGGCACCTCAAGGCCCGGCGCGTGTGAGCGGAGTGCAGCACGCGAGAGTGATATACACAGAGAGAGAGAGCGAGCACCTCGAACGCAATCGAGCTCGAGCAGACGTCAGAGCTCGCACACAGGCTGCGCATGAAGTTCAGAAAGACGTTGCCCGCACACCAGCGCACGCTGAAGACGCACAGCGGCGCGACCTCCCCCCGACTCGCCGTCATCGCCTGATGGACTTCTTTCCCGGTCGGCCCGGGCACGCCGGGCAGCTCCACGATCTCCACCAACGCAGATTCGCCGCCCCGGAGAAGGGTGACGCCCGTCATCTGGCCGACCGCCTCCCTGGACGGGGCACCGGCGGGGATAAGCATCAACAGGACGTCGACCACGATCGCCCGCAACATCACGTCTGGCCGACCCTGCGCCTGGCTTGGCAGGAGCCCGAGGTCGAGTTGAAACCGCACCGAGGGCAGGTAGGTGTCGCCTGGGGGAAGAGGCGGCGGCGGCGCTGCAGGCATTGGCTGCTGGGGGGGAGCGGACGGCGGTGACGGTGACGACGGTGGCAACGGCGGAGGTAGATGCGGCGGCGAAAGCGGCGGTGGCGGCATCGTGGGTGGCGGTGACGAAGGAGGCGGGACTGACGGGGGTGGTGACAAAGGCGGCAGCCTCGGCGGCGGCGATGGTGGCGGCGGTGGCGCTAGTGGCGGTGGCAGTAGTGGCGGCGGCGAGGGCGGTGAGGGCGACGGAAAGGGCGGCGGCGGAGGCAGATGCGGTGGCATGGGCGGCATGGGCGGAGCCGGCGGCGGTGGCGAGGGAGGAGGGCGTGGCGCCCGTACAAGCCGCCGGAGGCGTTCGCGTCTCGCGGTGCCGGTGATCAGTGGCGGTGGTCTTGGCTCGAGCGGCGGGGGCGGCGGCAGCGGAGAGGGGGACCAAGCCGGCATATACACAGGTGTTGTTAGATGCGCAGGCTGAGCTTAGCGCGCCGTCGAGAAAAAGAACTTGGGCATCAAGCCTCGCACAACACTGGGCACGGGACTGGCTCGCACTGGCACTAACACAGAAAAAGAATTAAAGCAACTGGCGGCCCCGACGGGCACACGCACGCACCTCCCTGTGTGCTGTGTGGTGCACGCCCTCCGAGCGGGGCGGGGTCTGCCCGTCGGGTTGCTGCCCTAATCCCACCAGGGGTTCTGCTCTATTTATTTATTACGGGCATGGAGCCGGAGCTCGGTCGCGGTCTGATGAGATCCGCAGCCGCAGTGCGACAGCCACGTCCCACGACCCGGGCAACTAGCTCAAATTTTGGTATTGAAATCTCTCTCTCTTCCAATCGTTAGACGAACGCTGACATCTCGAGCAGGCACCTTCGTCTCTGGACTCTGCACGTCGGTGTGACGAGAGGAGTGTCCGAGCGCAACAGGGCTTCCCTTCCTTTACCATCGAGCATCGTGCATTTATTTCATCATTGGCTTCTGGGTGTTGTTTGTGGCCGCATGTGTTTCTTTCTTTTTTTCATTCAGGGTGACGCTACATACAAGCCATAGCCGCTCCAACTCGCTGCTCTCCGACTTGCCCGCAGTCGAGCGCGACGTCGCCTAACTAAGGCAGCGGAAGAAAGAACGCAGCTCTAGGCTCCCTTTCTCGCACTGTGCCCCAGCAGTGCACTGTGCTCGCATTTGACACACACAGGAGAGCGACACACAGGAGAAGCAATGTCCCCGGTCCTGCCATTCTAGAAGCTTGCAGCCGGGCAGAAGGTGACTACAGGCGCGTACTGGACAGGGTTGAAGGCCTGCGGGTCGCAGGTGCCCGAGTCGGAAGGGACGTGGTCGCAGCAATGCTCATTGCAGCCCGGGCACGAGATGGGGTTGTATGGGTGATCGCCCTTGGTCCCGCAGTCTTGGCCGTAGTTGCAAGGGAACACGCCAGAGTTTGCGCCACCGCACGTCTTGGCCGACGAGATCTCAGCATCGATGCCATTGTCTGCCACGATCTTCACAGGTTTGTTGAAGCCGCTCAAGGCGGACAGGTCCCAGTACATAAATTCGTCTCCAGCCTTCCATGTGCCCTCGAAAAGTGTGTAGCCAGCTGTGCTGGCGTCTGCGTCCTTGTCGCCAACAATGACGCGAAAGCCTGCACCGAGGGAAGTGAAGCACCCAGGTTGGATGACGTGGCTCGACGACCCTTGGTTGACCGTGTGCAACGTGAGGCCCGCGCAGTCATTGACGATGCAGACGCCAGCACATGCGGTGCCAGTTGACGGGCAGACGCTTGATGCCTTTTCAATCGGCGCGCCGAACACGCCGGCGAAGAGCGAGAGGAGCGCGAAGTTGGAGTGCATATCTGCGGCGAACGTGGCGGTGAGCAAGTCAAGGCACTGGCGATGGCACAGAGCAGCGAGGGCTCGGCTCGTGCCATCGGTGGCGGTGGTGATAGAAGCTGCTTGCAGGTAGCGGGAGGTGGTGGTGTGGGTGGGCTGTAGGGCGGGCTGGCGGCCTGTATCCAGTCGGTCCTGACGCGAGATGTCCTTCCAGGATGAGAACGCCTGTTAGAGCCCGATTTATGCTTTTTGCAAAGGAGCAGAATTTACCAAAACAGGACAAGGAGCAGAAAGTTTTTATTCCAACATCCGTAGGCTCACCCCTCTTAATATACGAATATAGTCTAAGGGCGTTCACCGTTCTCAGCACACAACTAGGCATGTCTCTGGGCTCAGTGTGACACCATAAACGAGAAATTAGTTTACTGCGTCCTCTCTTTGGCTAAATTTTGACCCAGCTTGTGGGATGTCCGACTCCGTTTTTTCTTTCGAGTTTCGTTCTTTTCTTATTTCTAATTTTGACCACTCTATACACCACACTCACTTGACACTTCTGAGTTCTGTCGTACTGCAGGTCATCACATCATGAAGATCACACAACGTCTCGTCGTCTCCGCATGCCCCTCCCGGCGCGCCGCCCCCCGGACTGCCCGTGCCGCGTGCATCGTGCCACGTCCATCGCACACGCCATACCAACGCGCTCACCGGCGCACCACCGCGTCACACCCACAATGCACCGGCAGCCCAGCAGCCGTCACGCGTGGAAGGAGGTGACGATGTCCTATTCACAGTGGCGCCCGCGTGAAGCGAGACGCGCGCCCACCCCCCTTGAGGGCGGACAGCGGCGGCGGTCTCTCCTCCGTACTCCTCGTCGGGTCGCGCAACGCCTTCTTCTCGAGCGTCATGCAGAACGATGCGCCGCACCCGCAATACGACCGGCCGTTCACGTCGAGCACCTGCAAAGAGCCCGCCGGCCCAGGAGGCGTGAACGGCGTCTCTTCACACCCGCCACGCCGCCATGTTTCACACCTGAAAGCGACCGCCGTCGAGGAGGCGGCTGTGCGCCATCAAATCGTGGACGAGCACCGCCACGTTGGAGGCGTACGAGCCTACGGCAACCGTGCCCCGCTCGTCGCAATCCTGTCACGCGCCGCGCGCCCGCCCGCACGAGGTGCAGCTGCCGATGAAGGCGGCGCAGCGTCCCATCAGAATCATCTGCGCCACGAGCACCATCCCCTCGTCCTACTCCACAGGGGCAGCGCGTGAAGAGACGCCGCTCCCCACCCCGCGAGCAGCCGTCGCTCCCCGCCCCCCCTCCCCCCCCCCTCCATCCCTCCCCCCCTCCCGCGCCTTGAGCAGTCCCGCCGCGTCGATGTCGGAGGATGCGACGGCGGCGAGCGCGGCTGCAGACTGGTTCCGCTCTGTGGCACGGTAGCTCATGATGGCGTAGAGCTGCTCGGGGCGGGGAGAGGGTGGGAGGGTGGCGGGCGGCTCGTGCCGGGGGGTTGGCAGAAGCTCGGGCGCGGGATGAAGGCGAACAACAGCAAGACATGGGGAGCCGCGGGGAGGCAGGAAGAGAACGCAGGATGAAGGCGACCAGCAGCAGACATGGGGAGCCGCGGGGAGGCAGAGAGAAACGCGGCGAGACTGTGCATGTGCATGTGGAGACTGGGGAGATGGCCTGCTCGAGGCGCGAGTTGCCCTGGTTGATCGACTTGAAGGTCTTGCCTTCGGACATGTCCATCACGAAGAAGCGAGGCGGCACCCAGTACGAGACGGACGGCGCGACCAGAGGCGGGAAGAGGGAGTACCTGCGGCGGCGCAATCCATCGCCAACCCGTCAGACAGACCGCCCATCGGGCGCGAGCAGAGGGCGGAGAGAGGAGAGCACGTGTGCTTGTCCTCCGATCCGACGAGCAGCTGCAGCTCGGCGGGCGGCCTGGTCTGCCGCCAGTACGCCCAGCCGCGGTACAGCTGCGCGTACTCTGGAAACGACTTGGGAGGCAGCCGGTCCTCTCGCCTGTTCCAAACACAGCGGGAGGTGTGAGCGAGCGCCGTCCGCAGCCGCCGCCCGCGACAACCAGCCGTCTCTCACCGCCGCGTCTTGAACTTGTCTGTGCGGCGGACGTGCACGGCGACGCAGCGGGCCGGGTCAAAAACGGCGACCCCGCCGCCGCCGCCGCCGCCGCCGCCCGCCGCCTCCTGCAGCCGCCGCGCCCCCCTTCCCTTGCCCTTGCCCTTGCCCTTGCCATTTAGCTTGCCCACCGCCCTCTCCGCGAGCTGCCCGAAGGCGGGGTCCACGCTGGACAGCACGGTCGGCACCTCGCCCCTCGCGGCCTCTGCGACGGTACGCGAAGCGTTTGAGAGCGGGTCCGAGGTGGTGAGTGAGCCCGAGAGCTCGACGAGGAGGGAGCGCATCGCCACGCTTGGGCGGAAGAGGAAGGCCGTCAGCTGCGCGTGGAACCACTCCTTCGGATGCGGCTCAGCGAGGCCGGCCAGGCTGCCCAGACGACCCTCGGGCACGTCAGTGCACCAACGGATGCCGACCTGGATGACCTTGCGGTGCGTCGCCAGCGTGCAGTTGGAGGCGGGCTCAAAGTAGCAGTCGAACGAGCGAGAGGGGCAGGCGACCGGGTTGGTGTAGTGGGAGGTCGGCAGGTGGTAGACGTGGCCCTTGAGCAGCGCCGCGAGCAGCCCGAACTTGAGCGAGACAAGCTGTGCGCCAAGCCCGAGCCCCCAAAAGTATTCCTGCCGCTGCACGTGGCCAACTGTCTGACCGCACTCGGCAGGGTGCTGCATTTGGTGCAGCCAGGCGGAGAATTTGGCCACATCGCCGGACATGCTTCCGGCTCGTCGGCCGCCGCCACCCGAGGTTGGTTCAGTCTTTCACGGGTGTGGTAGGATCTGTTTCAAACCCCGCGTAAATTCGAATTGCAACTCTCTACACGTACACTGACGATGCATACTACAGGTGGCCTGACGGTGGTACCAGGCAATTAGACGGAGAAGTATTTGGTGAGTGAAATGTCACTTTGTCAGCATAGCCGGCACGCCCGCCGCAAAGCTTCCACTCGGGAGCGGCTTTGCGGGCTCGGGGCCGGGCGCGGTGAGCTCAAAGAAGGGCACCGTCCTCGTGCGAGCACCCTCGAGGACGAGTCGCGTCTTGCTCCGGACAGCGGCCTTGCCGGCGCGGAATGCGACTTCAAAGTCCCGGCTCTCGGCGAGGCTGCGGAAAAAGCCGCGCACGAAGAGGTAGGCCGCCTCATCCTGCACGTCCGTCTCCCAGCAGACGACCACCGGCACGCCGCGGCTGCGGCACTTGAGCCCGAGATCCAACGAGCCGCAGCCGTTGAGCACGACAAGCTCGATCGTGCCGCTCGAGCCCGGGTGGGTGCGCGCATGCTCGCCCAGCAGCGCCGCCACCTGGTCATTGTCCGCCGGTGCGAGGTTGCCCTCCGAGTCGGTGAAGCCGAGCCGCTTTGGCCGGCCCTCGTCGTGCAAGTTGGCGTGGCCCGAGAAGAGGAAGTAGCAAGGCGACCTCCCCCGCGCGCTGCGCTCCGCCAGCTCGGCCTCGAGCCTCTCGAAGGTGCAGTCGCGGTCGGCGGCCTGCGCCTCCTGTCGCCTCTTCAGCACCTTGTAGTGGACGGGCTGGGACTTGTCCTTGCGGAAGGAGAAGGCCGTGCCGCCGATGATCGAAGCGGGGACGGCGTGCGAGGCGGCGAGCGCGTCGTTGAGCGCCTGCGGAAGCGCGTCGTCGAGGTGGTTTGGGTGGTCGGGGTTGCACACGAACGCCAGCAGGAGGTTGCCCCGCCTCTGCGCGCAATCACGCTGCTCGCGGAGCAGCTCCTCGCGCAGCCGTGTCGACTCGGCAAAGAGCATCTGGCTGCGCAAGTCTCGGATCTGCGCGTCGGCCGTGTGCTTGTCTCGCAGCGCCTTTGCCTTGACGCCGCCAGGGTCCAGCGCCGCCCATCCACCGTGCGGGGGCCTGTCCTCGAGGCGGAGCCTGCCGACGAGATAGCCAAGAGCCATGGCGTGGTTGCCGCCAAAGACCCCCATCGCCTCGGCCACGAGGTCGTCGGTAATGTGGGGGTGGGAAGGGCGCTCCCCCAGCTGCAGCCGGTCGAGCGCGGCGGCGAGGTCGGGGTCGACGCCGTCCGCCGGCACTCCGGCGTCGAGCAACAGCCGTGCGCAGCCGGCGTTGCCGCACTTCAAGCACTGCTGGAGCGCGTTGAACTCTGCCGAGTAGAGCCCGTGGTCCAGCCCCGGACTGAATTTGTGGAAGGGCTCCACTCCGTGTTGCAGCGCACGCCTCTGCACCGCGGCCAGGATGGCCTGGACGGTGCGCGCCTGCGCCTCGCTCAGCGGTGCCATGCACGCGAATCCAATGGGCGCGCAATCGTACGCGCCCCGCTGCGGCAAGCCCAGCTCGACGTGGTAGTCGAGCAGATGCGGCGAGGATGCGAGCACGCGCGTGACCAGATCCGCGTAGTTGTAATGCGCAGCTTTGGCGAGGCACTCTGCGATCGGCCAGACATGCTGCAGCTCGCCACGCTGCGCGGGCTCGAGGCCGAGTAGCACCAGCGCGGGCTTCAGCTTTAGGCGGATGCACGCGTAGGTGCCCGTCTCGTCGGTGTGCGACCAGACGGGCACGATGTCTCCGCGCAGAGGCAGCCGCTCAAAGACGGTTGCCCAAGTGCCCATCGCTGCATTCTCCTCGAGCGAGAGACTGCGCCGCAGCGTCTCCTCGCGACGGTCCAGCGCCGCCCGAATCAGGCCCGGGTCGACGCCGTCGTCGCCCAACGAAAGGAGCAATGCCGAGGCGGCAAGGTCGGGCTGGCTCTCTGTGAGCATAACCAGCTCGACGGAGAGCGACAGCACCTCTGGCGGCAGCAGTGGTGGCTGCGTTGGCGGCAGCGGCCGCGACTGCGGTGTCTGGCTTGCGCGTGCGCTCGCCTCGATGCCGAGTAGCACGGACGCGATGGTGGCGGCCACGCGCGACGGGTCTAGATCCTCGGCAGCCATGGTCAACCGCGGTGGCGTGCTGCGGATGCTGCTGCTTCCGCTTGAGACGCACAATGCTGGCCGGCGTCCGCGGAAGGCAAGAAAATCCCACTCCGGCTCCAAGCCGCCACCATCCTGCTGTACGGCACCGGAGGGCGCTGATGCGGGCGCCACTGCAGGCGAGCTCGAGCTCGCTGCTCCACTGGTGTTGGAGGCAGTTGCAGGAGGCGCCTCTGCATTGGCGTTGAAGCGGGTGACCATCGGGAGGGGCGGGTGGCCAGTGTAGTACTTTCGCGGCTGGCCGCCGTACTGCTGCGCCTTCTCGTCCATCCATTTTCGTCGCGGGCGATCGCTAGTCTTGCTTGCGAACCATACCTTCCCTTGAATGCAGGCGCGGTTCCAGCAATCGCACGATGGCCCGTTCGGTGGCCGTTGTGGTTGCCACTGTTGCGCGCAGCCCTCAGCATGCGACCGCCCCTGGGTATCGAGGGACCAGAAGTACCACGCGCTGGCCTGAGCATCCCCGCTATAGAAGCAGGGCTCGCCATCGGGGTTTTGATGAGGAGGCATGGTTGGAGCTACGACTCGCGCGCCGGCCACGACTCGCGCCCGTCGCCCGGGAACCCCGGGACACGTCCCGGGGCGCAATGCATTTTTTTGAGCTAGCCTTCCGCAAGGCCACACACATGACACATCTCGCCCACAGACGAGACCCTCCAGGAGCGATGTTATGTTCTTCTTCACGGAACAAGCACGCAGAGCTCTAGCCTCTACATCCGGCGCGTGACGGACTGCGTGCGCTGTAGAGGCGATGCGCTATTTCGGACCGTAGAGGAGGTCAGCAGCGCGCGGGGGGGGGGGGGGGGGGTTCTTCGAGACCTCAACGAGCGAGTCGCAAGCGCCTGCACAGTTTTGCCGGCATCTGCTCCCTGGGCGCACGGGGGCAGATGCAGCCCGCGCTTGTGCAACAGGCGATTGCACTTCCCACGTGCCACGAGGATGGCATCTGGCTCCACCAACTCTACTGCGCCATCGGGTTCCTACAGAAAGTGATTGTCGCGCCTCGGGCCTCAATTGGTGGCAACTCGTGCAGCGTCGCCAATTTGGCGGGTCTCTTCTCGATGACAACTGAGCAGTTGGCACAGCTGAAGGCGCGGTGGGACAAGAAGGGCAAGCCGCCAGCACTCCCCTGCCATGATCTCCGGGAGATGCGCATTGTGCAGTGGCTGGTCTTCTGGGTTGACCGCCACAGCGTCACCACGCTCGACGACCTCAAGGAGCTCGTGCGCGCAGCGTCGGTCGAGGAGCCACCGCCGCCGCCGCCACCGGAGTCGCGGGCGCGAACGTACAAGGTTGACGACCACGCGTTGCCCCGCCGGCTTCGTTACAAGCAAGCGGACCAGGATGCTGGCATGACGGCGGCCGCTGGTCACCTGGCGTTGCCTCCTTTGGTTGCGCCCGCGCAGCGGTCTTCAAACGCGCACACTGTAGCTGGGTCGGACGCGCCAGAGGCGGGGGGCTCCCACATCGAGGACAGCGTGGCGGCTCAGGCGGCTGAGATCCACTTGCCGTGGCGTCAATGCGGGATGCGCGGGTGCTCGCTGCCACTGCACCACCCTGGCGCTTGTGATGTTGGCTCCAAGGTGCTCGAGAACGGCGAGAGCATGCAGGCGGAGGCGGAGGAGGAGAGGGACTTCCCGAACGGGAAGAGCTTTGGAGGGCACCAGGGCCGTGGTACCAACGCCAGCACTGTGGCCGCTCCGGCGGTTCCGATGGACGATGAGTGCTGCCGCGTCTGTGGCCGGTCCAACTATGAGAAGAAAATGCTCCTCTGCGACGGCAGCAGTTGCGGCGCCTCCTACCACACATTTTGCCTTGACCCGGCGCTATGCGAGGTGCCCGAGGGAGACTGGTACTGCCCAAAGTGCGAGAAGCTGAGAGCGGGGGAGGCGACGGCCACGGAGGCCATAGAGGCGGCGGCAGAGGTAGAGGAGGCGCGGACACAAGAGCAGGTGGCGGCAGAGGCAGAGGAGGCGCGGGCACAAGAGGAGGTGGCGGCGGCGGCGGCGGCGGCGGCGGCGGCGGCGGCGGCGGCGGCGGCGGCGGCGGCGGAGGCGGAGGTGGCGGTGGAGGACGCGCCAGAGGAGGCGCTAAAGAAGGCACTGAAGGAGTCGCCAGACGAGGAGGGTGACGAGGCCATGGAGAGGCATTCGGGAGTGGTGCCGCAGGCGTTGGCAGCCGTGGGGGGCAACGAGGCCGCTGCAGAGGGCGAGGCTGCGCAGGAGCCGCCCGAGGAGTCGCTGAAGGTGGCGCCGGGGCTGGCGCCGGATGATGAGGCAGAGGCGGCAGCTGGTGCAACCACAGCACCGATCATCGTTACTGCCGGAGCGCAGGGCTTGCCACAGTCGCCCCCGACAGCAGCGATGCTGCCTTATCAGCCATCAGCATCACCATTTGAGCCGCAGCAGCGCTTGCTGCAGCATCTTCCGCCGCAGCAGCAATCGCCTCAGCCACCATCGCAGCCGCAGCCGCAGCCGCTGCCACAGCCACGACCGACCTACGTCTGCGTAAAGGTTGCGCTGATGGATATGGATGAGCCCGTCGCCGAGGCCGAAGAGCGGATGCCAGAAGGTGACTTTACGAACGAATCCCTCGACAAGCTGAAAGAAGACCTCATCGAGCAAGTGTGCGTCGAAAGCATCGATTCTTTCCTTGAGTTCGAGCACCCGCAGGACGGCAAGTGGAAACTGCTCCTGCGCCCCGACACAGTGCTCCACTCGTTGCGAGTGCATGGTACGCCTCTCTCAGCGCGCGACGGCTCCGATACGTACGACCTCAATGTGCGCATTCGCCCAAAGAAAAAGCGACGGCGGCTCGACTCCGATGCAGGCGGCGGCGGCGGCGGCGGTGGCGGCGGCGGCGGCGGTGACGGTGGCAGCGGCGCGGGAGGCAGCAGTGGCGGCGGAGCAGGAGGCGGTAGCGACGGTGGCAGTTCGGGAGGAGGTAGCGGTGACGGTTTCGTGGGGGGCAGCAGCAGTGGCGGAAACGGTGGAGGCGATGGAGGCGGGGGCGGCAGCGTTGGCGAGGCTGCTGTGGGAGGAGGGGCGGAAGGGGAGCCAGCCGACGGGATGGAGCTCGATGCATCCGAGGCGCCGGGGAACCAGGTCGCAGCGATCGAGGAAGGGTCGCAGCAGCAGCCGGCAGATGTCATCGACCGTGTGCCGTCCGATGACGAGGCTGCCGCCACCGTCGCCTTGCCTACACGCAGCACAACTCCAGCTCGCTTGGGCGTTGACTCGTCTCTGTCGACCGAGGAGGAGCTTGCGGAAGGGCTACCAGCAGACGATGATGAGGCTTCCGCGTGCGAGGACCGACCATCGACGCCCGAGGTGGACACCGCCGCCGTCCCGCCCGCGGCGGCAGCCACAACCCCCCGACCGGCCGCTCCGCCCGCTCCGCCCGCTCCGCCCGCTCCGCCCGCTACAACTGCTCCGCCCGCTCCGCCCGCCGCTCCGGCTGCTGGCAGCTCGACTGGCAGCCAGACGACCGACCGCGAGGCGAGCCAAGACGCGGCTCGCAGGAGCGATATCAACAAATTCTGGTTTCAGCAGCCGATCACGGACGAGCCGCGATGCGGCACCTTTGGCTGCACTCTGCCGGACAGGCACAGCGGCATTTGCGAGATCAGCTGCTGCGGGGGCTCGCGCAAGCGTAAGGCTCCGGAGCGGCTCGAGCAGCATGGAGCCTGGGCTTCAGCGCACTCCTCGCACATACTCTCGCACTGGGGTCGTTCTGAGGCGCCACCACGAGCCTTGCACCACTCGAGCGTGGTTGAGGCCGGCGACTGCACCACTACTGCTGTGATCGACAGGCTCCTCATCGACGAGCTGATCGGCGAAGGTGCGTACAACGCCGGCGTGCGAATTGTCGGTCGGGCTCCTGACAAGAGGAGGCGGAGAGGGCCCCTGCTTCTCAGCTTTGGTGGCGACGCGGCCCCGCTACCTTGGTGCGGCAGGGGCTTGGACTCCCTTGCAAGGGCAGCGGTAGCGCTCGGGATCGACATGAACGTGTCTCGTCTGCGCCAGCGCAAGCTCGCTGTGCCAGAGGCTTGTTGGAGGCGCATCGCGGTTACGCTTCCGCAGGTCGGCTGGACGCGGACGGAAAAAAGGCGCAAGGAGGGACCGGCTGCGGGCGCTGTGTACTGGCTTTACTCGCACAACAAGTACGGCTCTACCAAATCGGCGCAGCGAGCGTACGGCAAGACGCCCGCCGCAGCAAGACCGGCGTTGCCAAGGTGGCTTTACGACGCTCACGCGCGCTCGGTCTCTTCGAGCGATGAGGACGAGGGCGACGGCCGCGGCGGCGACAGCAGCGGCAGTGGCGGCGGAAGCGGCGACGGCAGCGATAGCGATGACAGCAGCGGTGATGGCAGCGGCGGCGACGGTAGTGGCAGCAACAGCGGCAGCAGCGGCGACGATCGCCACTCGGGCGAATCACCGATGATCGTGCTAGCGGTGGTGGCGGAGGAGGCGAGAGCCGAGGCCGTGGCTTTGCTGCCGGCGGCTTCGGTGATGCCGCAGGCGACGCTGGTGGAGGACACAGAGGTGACCGCCACAGAGGTGGATGCCGCGTCCAATGGAGCTGAGGGGCTGCCTGAGGCATGCGCCAAGGACAACAGCGACGGCAGTGGCGGAGCCGCCGTCGCAGCCCCGCGCGAGGTCATGTCACAGCAGCAGTCGTCCGCAGTGCAGCAGCAACAACCTTTCCCCATGGAGCCGCCGCCGCCGCCGCTGCCGCCGCAGCAACAGCCGCTGCCGCCGCAGCAGCCACAACGACGGCAAGTCCAACAGGAGCAGGCGCAGCGGCTCCAGCAGCTGCCGGAGCAGCAGCAGCAGCAGCAGCAACGCTTCGCTGCAGCGGTGACGCAAGTGGTAACTCGAGCGGTGCCTCTACCACCGCCGCCGCCGCTGCAGCACCAGCAGCACCAGCAGCACCAGCAGCACCAGCAGCACCAGCAGCAGCGATGGCAGCTGCAGCTGCCGTCATGGCAGCTACAGCAACTCATGCATCAGAGGCAGGCGCAACTGTGGCAACAGGTGCAGGCAGCGCAAGCGCAGGTAGCGCAAGCGCAGGCAGCGCAAGCGCGGGCAGCGCAGGCATCGCAGGCGCAGGCAGCGCGCGCGCAGGCTCAAGCGCGGGCAGCGCAGGCGCAGGCGCAGGCGCAGCCACAGGCCGACGAGTGTGTCGTGTGTCATGACGGCCGAAAGTCCGTCGCATTGCTCCCGTGCAAACACTTCTGCCTCTGCGAGGGGTGCGCCGCCAACTTTGGCCCGGGCCGTGCCGGTCTGGCGGGGATATGCCCGATATGCCGAGAGCCCATCGCCGAGAAGCTTCCCGGCTTGTTCATGTGAGTAGCAAGGCGGCGTTCACCGCGTAGCTACTCCACGCACGCACACTCGCGCGCGCATGCGTGTCGCCGCACAGCAATCCACGCGTTCGCGCATGGCGCATGCGTGTCAGGGGAGAGTACGTTGACATGTTTGTTGATGTGGGGGCCGATCTACCGTTTTCATTTTCTCTTTATCACACAAATCGCCTCAGAGCTCAACGATTATGGTTCTATCAGTCTCCTTGTCGGCGAGAAGGTGCCGCACGGTCGGCGTCGGGAAGGCGTGCTTGCGCCACGAAGCCAGCAGCTGCTCCGTGATCCGCCGCCCGCGCGCCTGCGCCCCAAGCTTTGCTCGCGCGCACAGCACGCCGTCCGGCTTCAGCAGCTCGCGGTGTGTGGCGGCCACCGCCGGCACATCCCCGCGATCGATGGCCACGATGAGCATGTCGTATGCGTGCTTCGCTGGCGCCGCCCCGGACTCTTCGGCGGTGCGTTCCGGGATGACGTCCACGGTGGCATGCAGCGCAGACAGCACCGCCTCATAGGCGCGCCCCTCGGCCGACCCCTTCGAGGTGGCGACGACGCCGATCCGCTTCCCCCTCGGGTCGCACCGCGGGTGCCTCTCCGCAACCTCCTGCACGTGCGCGGCGATCCTCGAGTGCGGAAGCCCGGCGGCGGCAGACACCTAATCGTCGCGATGATTAGCCGAGAGTCATCGAGAGTCGTCGAGATTTTCCGAGAATCGCCGAGAATCGCCGAGAGTCGCCGAGAGAATCTCCGTCCTAGCCGGCGCCTTCTCGCGCCAAGCGCGCAGGTCGATGAGGTCCCTGCTATACGGCCCTCCCGTGAGCAAGAGCCGCTCGGCGTCGCCCGACCCGCGCGGGCGCCAAGCCTAGAGGAGAGAGAAGAGCTGCCACTCGCGAAGAAGACAATGTGCGTGTCCCGCCCGCAGGGGGGGGGCGGCCTCGCCAGCACGAAGAGCGTGTGGCTGAAGGCGGAGGGCGACACCGCCGCGCCGGCACGATGCAGCTCCCCGGCCACCCACCTGTCGGCAAGCTCAGCCAAGGTCTACGAGTAGGGAGGGCACGGAGGAGGCGGCGCAGCTCCCCCCACGCCACGCACCACTCTAGGCTGCGCGGGACGCAGTTCATCCGAAGGACCTGCCCGCGGCCGGCGAGGCTGTCGCGTGGCAGCGCCTGCACTGGATGCGTCGAGGACGCGTCACGGAGGCATGTCCGGGAGAGGTCGAGGGCTGTGTCGCGGGCAGCGCCGTGACGACGGCCGCCGCGTCCGCCTCCGCCGAAAGCCTGGAATGGGCGACGCAAGCCGAGCGGTCGTACGGGGTGATCTGGTCGATCGAGCGGCAAAGGACCTCCGACGCCATCAGAGCCTTGAGCACGGCCTCCGCCTCCCCGCCCGCAACCACGCACGGCGCGAGGGTGCTGGCGCCGCCGCCGGCCGAGGGAGCCTGCAGGAAGGCTCCGCGAAGGCTCCGAGAAAGTCCCGCTGGAAGGGGGGGGGGGTGACTCGGCCAGCTCCAGCGTGTGCGTCTCGACCGACTCATCTCGTCTCATCTCGGGTCATCTCGGGTCATCTCGGGCCATCTCGGGCCATCTCGGGTCGTCTAGGGTCATCTCGGGCCATCTCGGGTCACCTCAGGTAAGTCTCGGGTCATCTCGGGTCGTCTCGGGTAAGTCTCGGGTAAGTCTCGGGTAAGTCTCGGGTAAGTCTCGGGTAAGTCTCGGGTAAGTCTCGGGTAAGTCTCGGGTAAGTCTCGGGTAAGTCTCGGGTCATCTCGGGTGGTCGGCAGGCGCCAGCTCCAACGTGTGCATCTCGACCGACTCGATCGCGCGCTCGCCGCGCTCGCGCAGCTCCTGTTCGCACACACACTCTCTCTGTCTGTGCCGGCCTTGCCGCCTCGGTCTCTGCCCGCGCCCACGCCGCTCCTGCAGGTACTCCGCCAGCCGCTCCGTCTGCGAGGCGCCCTTTGCGGCGGTGTGCAACACCACCCCGCTCGGCGGCAGGTGCAGGCCGCTCGGGCGCGGCGTCTGGATGAGCGGGCCGAGACCGCGCTCGAGGGAGCTGCTCGGCCGGGCGGCGAGCAGGATCAGGTTGTCTGGCGCCTATGGTGATGCGCCGGCAAGGCTCCGGCCAGGCCCGGGCCCGGCTCGGCAGCACGGCGGTGTGGCGGCGCCGTCCCGCTGCCGACGTACTCGACGAGGGCGGTCGAGAAGCCGGCGGCCGCCAGCTGCTGCAGCCGCGCCGCCTCGAGGACGACCCGCGCCGCACGGCCGGCCCGGTAGCAGCTGTCGGCGCCGAGCGCCTGCAAGAAGGCTCCGGGAAAGGTCCGGGAAAGGTCCCGGAAGAGCGCGGTAGCAGCTGTTTGCGCCGAGGGCCTGAAGCGACTCCCAGCGCTTGCAGTCGCGGCCGGAGGAGCCGCCCCGGCCGTGGCGGGAGAGGGCGATCAGGTCGAGGAGGACGGGGAAGTGCGCCTCCGTCAGAAGGGCGCCGAGCGGGCCTTTGGCCTCGCGCGCGCAGAACGCATCCCACTGCATGGCTGGGTGGCAGCACGGCGCGAGGGCGGCGAGGGCGACCCGCTCGCTGGCGAGGATCAGCCGGACAGCCTCGTCGGACGCGTTCCCGCAAAAGTGCTTTGCAATCACCAGCGCGCCGTGCGGGATCTTGTCGTCGAGGACGAAGCCTTGGGCGACCGACGTGCCGTTCAGCCTGGTCACGTCGTGCTCGCGGGAGTCGTAGGTGGGGCACTCCCGCTGCTCGATGGCGACTAGCGGCAGCGCACCCCTGTCACCCCGAGAGATCGCACTGACGTCTTGCAGCACCCTCCCAAGGAGGCCCTTCCCAGCGCCCAGCTCCACAATCGCGGTGACGTTGTCGAGGTAGTGCGTCAGCTCGCCCACGAACCGCTCGAGCTGCGGCTGGTGGAGGGCACGCTTGCCGGTGCGATACCACGTACTCGTGCCGGCGGTCGCCTTCTCGTATGCCCTGGCGAGGACCTCGGCGGCCGCTGGCCCCGGACGCCGGGCAACGTGGATAGGGATGGAGGCGGCTGCCGCCTCGATGCGGCTGACGGCGTCCGTGACATCGACGGCGGCCGACTGATCCATTCGATTCGCTTTGAGCCGTCGCCGCACCGGGCCAGAGAGAGGGCAAGCCTCCCGTGCGATGCCAGCGCGCAAGCAAGCCCCAGCGAGACCAAAAGAATTTCCCTCGAGTCTCCTCGCACGACACTAGGCACGGGCACTCAGAATTCTTCTTTCTGGGCATGTACCGTGTTGAGCGGCGCCATACCCAGCTCGCTGACCTGGCTCGGGGCGACCTGGCCTCGCTGCGCGCCTTCCTCTCCGGGCGGTGGACGCGCGGCACGTCGCTCGCGGCCCAGCTCGACGCGCGGCACGACACCGAGAAGCAGGACACGCTGCTCACCTGGGCCGCTCGCCACGGGCAAGCCGAGGCGGTGCGGCTGCTGCTCGAAGGCGGCGCGAGCGTCGGGGCGACGACTGGCGGCGGCGCTTCCGCGCTGTATATCGCGTGCCAGGAGGGGCAGATTGAGTGCGCCCGGTCGCTCGTCGAGGCTGGCGCGGCGACCGACCAAGCAGACGCTGAAGGCTGCACGCCGCTGTACATCGCGAGCGAGAACGGCCACCTCGAGATCGCCCAGCTGCTGCGCGACGCTGGCGCGGCGGTCAACCAAGCAGACGCCAGAGGCTTCTCGCCGCTGTTCATGGCGAGCCAGGAGGGCCACGTCGAGTGCGTGCGGCTGCTCCTCGAGGCCGACGCTGACATCAACAAAGCTCTGGAGGACGGCGCCACGCCGCTGTACGTCGCGTGCCAGGAGGGCCACCTCGAGTGCGCCCGGCTGCTGCGCGACGCTGGCGCTGACATCAACCAAGCCAGGTCCGACGGTACCACGCCGCTGTTCATGGCGTGCCAGAACAACCACCCCGAAATCGCCCGGCTGCTCATCGAGGCCGGCGCGGCGGTCGACCAAGCTGCTGTTCTTCGCGTGCCAGATGGGCCACCTCGAGACCGCCCGGGTGCTCGTCGAGGCCAGCGCGGCGATCAACCAAGCTACAGAGGATGGCGCAACGCCGCTGTTCCTGGCGTGCCACCAGGGCCACCTCGAGATGGCCCGGCTGCTCCTCGAGGCGGGCGCTGCGCCCAACCAAGCCCGCAACGACGGCTCCACGCCGCTGTTCATGGCGTGCCAGAACAACCACCCCGAGATCGCCCGGCTGCTCCTCGAGGCCAGCGCGGCGGTCAACCAAGCCCGCAGCACTGGCGCCACGCCGCTGTTCATTGCGTGCGAGGAGGTCCACCTCGAGATGGTCCGGCTGCTCCTCGAGGCCGGCGCAGCGATGGACCAAGCCCGCAACGACGGCGCCACGCCGCTCTCCGTCGCGTGCCAGAACAACCACCTCGAGATCGCTCGGCTGCTCAACGAGGCCCGCGCAGCGATCGACCAGGCCGATGAGGAAGGCGTCACCCCGCTGTACATGGCGTGCCAGGACGGCCACCTCGAGGGTCGCCAAGCTCCTCTCCTCCTACGGCGCCTCCCGCGCCGCTACGCCCCTCGGCACGCCCGAGGAGATTGCAACCGAAGAAGGCCACGCCGACCTCGCCGCCTGGCTGGTCGCCAGCCGCGGCTGGACGCCGCTCCAGCACCTCGAGGCGTGCCCGAGACTAGCGGCCGAAGGCGTGAGCGCGCTGTCCTCACGCCCATTGCACCTCTTCCGCAGGCGCTCACCGTCGAGCGGGCGCGGGCGCTGCTGCGTGGAGGCGCTGACCCGCTCGCCGGCGCGCCTTCTGCCCTCGAGCGGGCGCGCGTCCTCTGCTCGTGGAGCGAGTCGGATCCGACCGCCGCGGCAGTCGGTTCCACCGTCACGATCCACTCTCTCGTCTCGCGGCCCTCGATGAACGGCGAGGTCGGCGTCGTCGTCTCAGCGAACGCTTCGACGGCCCGCTTCGGCGTGCGCGTGGCGGGCGAGGCCAAGGCACTCGCACTGAGGCGCGCACTGCAATGGTCTCTCCCCGACTCGCCGGATCCTCTCTTTGGACACACCCCACGCCTCTGCCCTCCCTCAGGCCGGCCAACCTGCAGCCAGCGGCCGAGGCGGTGGAGGTGGGCAGGCTGGTCCTCAAGGCGGAGGAGTGGTCGCCGCAGTCGCACGAGCTCTTCCCGGAGGCGGCTCGCAAGCGGGCTGTCGAGGTGATGCGGCTGGGCTACCTAATCGCTTGGGACGAGGAGCGCTTCGACAGCCGCGAGGGAGCGGCTCCAGAGCTGGCGGACATCTGGCGCGGCTTTGTGCTGCCAAGGGTGGTGGTGCGCGGATGACTTCACTCGAATCTCAATCCGCACGGGGTTTTCAGTGAGAGGGCCAAACCCCCACGACCCACAATGGGGTCTTGCCGTTGCCCCGCTGTTGCTCGCGTCGTCGTGGTGTCTATAACTATATGGTCTATTTTTGGTATTTGACCTCTTCCTTTTCTTTTTCTCTCTCTTAGAGCTTTACTCTTCTGTCCAGACGTCGAGTCGTAGTTTACAAAACTCCCTCTCGCACAACAGTCAACACTCGGCACGGGACTGGCGCGTGGCGGTCACGCGGCGCGGCCGTGGGTTGGCTCAACCTCAAATGCCCACGTGCACGTCACCCTCCGCAATCGCCCCCGTGCACTCCGAGCAAGAGCAGATCACCGCGAACCTCGTCGCCTTCACGCAAGGTCGCAAGCCCGCCCGCGCCCGGCGCGCCGTCGCGACCGGCATCGCCGCCGCCGCCGCCGAGGTCGTGGGGGAGGTCGTGGGGCCCGCGGTGCCGGGCGAGGAGGGCGAGGAAGTCGCGGCGCGGGTAGATGCGGTGGCCGAGGGCGCGCTTGTACTCCATCTCGGGCGAGTAGCAGTGCCTAAGCCTCGGGCCACCTCGGGTGATCTCGCGCGATCTCGCGGTTGTGCCCCGCCATCGCGCGAGCGGCGGCGCCCGAGCGACCAGAAAGCGTAGCCGCGCTGTCGCAGCCACAGGCCGAGCAGCACGAGCTGCGCGGTGCCGTGAGCCCCGGCGGTGCGGACCTGCGGGACGTGTCGGGGGACGTGTCGGGGACGTGTTTGGGGAGGTGTCGGGGGATGGGTCGGGGGCTGTCTCGTGGAGCTGTTCGGGGACGTGTCGCGGTCGTGCGAGGGTGCGCGTGTCGGGGGCGTGTCGGGGGCGTGTCGGGGGCGTGTCGGGGGCGTGTCGTGGACGTGTCGGGGCCATGTGCGGTGCAGACCGCGGTCCATCCAGAGAGCGAAGTGTACACCTAAGAGGGGAGGCTCCGAGAGGGCTGCGGGAAGGCTCCAGGAAGGCTCCGCCGCAGAGGCGAGGCGCAGACCCGACCGACCGAGAAGCCAACCTCGCCTGCGAGCACCTCCTCCTCCTCCTCCCCCTCCCCCCCCTGCTCCTCCCCCCCCTGCTCCCCCCCCTGCTCCCCCCCCTGCTCCCTCCCCTGCTCCTCCCCCTGCTCCTCCCCCCACTCCTCCCTTCGTCCGCGCAGCTCGACGGCCTGCGTAGTGGGTGCGGGAAAAGAGTGCGTGGAGATGGCCGTGTTGCAGCGGCGGTGGTACGGGCGGACGCCAGCCCGAGGACGCGCTGCTCTCGAGCGCTCGTGTACGTGCACGTGTGGCTTTGCATCTAGGCTTCGAGCGCGTGCAGCGAGAAGTTGAGACGCGGGTCACGCGACGCAGCGAGCAGCATCTGCAGGTAGCGCGGCGTGAGCCAGCTCGAGCCGTGCCGCTCCGCCTGGTACCTGCGCGAGAAGACGAGAAGTCATGCGTGTGGAGAAGAGGAGGCCGGCTCTTCACGGCTGCCCCGGTGCCTCTCGAGGCGCGCGCAGCTGGCCTCCGGGTCGCGGCTCACGACGAGCCGCAGTCCGCTCGCGCGGGTGCCGGTGCCGGCGCGCAGCTTGCGGAAGACGCGCCTGACGATCTCGCGTCATATCTCGGGTCATCTCGCGTCATCTCGGGTCGTGCTCTCTCGGGGAGCCGGGCCAGCTCTCGGAAGACGCGCCTCGCCGACCAGTCGCAGTCTCTCCTAGCCTCTCGGGCAGTCTCGCGCGCCTCGCGGAGGAGCTGGCGAGCAGGGCGGGCCAGCAGACCACGCCTACGGACGCGGATCTCGCGAATGGGCCCGGTGCGATCGAGATCGCTAGCTATGGGCGTCCCGAGCTGACCATAGTACGGCTGCAGCTCTGGCAGCGGGAGAGGCTCCGTGCCGGCTCCGAGCAGGCGAGCGGTGATGGTGAAGAAGCCCTCGTACAGCAGCCGCGCGTTGAAGGCCGGATCCCACGCCTCGTTCGAGCCAAACCCAAAGAGAAAGTAGTTGTTTTCCTTCAGCTCCGCGTCGCACGCGTCTAGCACCCGCCGCACGGCGTCAATGGTCGCGCCGCCGGGCGGGAGGAACAAGCCCGCCGGCACCGCCTCAAAGTACTGTGCCTTGGAGATCCAGTCGCTGTACGAGCCACTCGTGGACTCATCGCCTGCAGATTGTAAGTGCGTGATGCTGCTCGCTCTGGCAACTCGCGCTTGCTGCTTCCGTTCGAGCTTGGCCTGCTTGCGCCGTAGCTGCCGCTCGCGCACAGCGGCAGCCGCGTCCTCGCTCAGGGAGGCAAACGGCAGCTCGTGAGGCATGCAGGAATTCGCAACGACGGTGCCAGAGGGTAAGCTGCCACAGGTTGGGAACAGGGGGTTCGACTGTCGGTGTGTGCGATCTGGTCCAGCTTTTGCGGTTCGCCCGTGCGCTCACTACACGTAAAATTCTTTTGCTGCCAGTAGAATTCTTTTGCTGCCCCAACCTTGTTCGCCATATCACCTCGATGCCCTGAAGGCCGCTCTCAAGTGACCGAAAGGCGTGTCACGCGCAAAAAATTTTTTCGTCGCTCTCTCTAGGATGGACCCGGCTCTGGCTCTCGCTTTATCCCGCTTTCTTTTTGTTTCTTCCTCAGCTTTCGTTCGCTAGACGCTCTGCGAGACCCGCAAAAAGAACTCATTTCAGGCACTGCTGTGAAGATGAACATCACCTTTCAAACAGTGTTACCACACGCACGGCAACCCTACCCGCGGTGGGCCAGCCCTTTCCCTCACCCGACACCCTCTTGTAAGCATCTGAGTCTGGCCACAGAGTGCTCGACGCTCGCCGACCACCTATCGCCGTCCGCCAGCCAGATCCTCTCGCCGCGCCGTCCGGCGAGGTCGCCGTGACCTGGCCCTCTTCGCGCCTTGATCGCCTCCGCCCGCCGCCGGCGTCTTTTCTCTTCGTCAGCCCTGTGCCGAAAGCGCCGCTCTCTTCCTTGTCGCTACCTTGTCGACGGCCGCGCTGCCGGTGCTGGCCCTGCTCGACGCGCCGGCTCCTGCATGACGACGGCGCCTCTCGGCCGCATGCACAGGCGCCTCTCACTCCGCCGCTCGCGCCGCCAAGCGCGACGAGACGTGCAGCGAACTGAGCAGCTAGCGCGAAGGTGTCTCAAAGTGGTCTCAAGTGTCTCGAACGTGTCTCAAACTCGAATCGTCGATCGAATCATAATAATGTGTATTTCACACCGACCCGACTTCCCGACGCAACAACCGAACCTGCTTGAGAGTGGCCCTCTCAGGGTTGCATATTTTTTCTTCCAACTGTAACGGCTTTTGACCGGCGCCGCCTCGCCGGACTTCCCAGCCGACGCGAGATGGGTTTTATGGCTCGCTGTGCTGACGATGCTCGGAGCGACGGTTGCAGACTAGTCGGTGGAGCTTTGGATCACTGCAGACGTCAAGGGCAGACGTGCTACACGCCACGCTAACCTTGAGCACGGGCGGCGCGCTGCACGACGCGAGCGTGCGCGAGGTGATGCTGAACTGCTCTTCGCCAGAGGACGCGGGCACTCGCGCGCGCTTGGTCGGCACAGACGGAATGCGCGCGCGAATGGAGGGATGATTCGCGCAGCGCTGACGGGCGCCGTCTCTCAGAAGGAGCTTGTCGAGATGTTGCCCTTCCAGAATGAGGTGACAATCGTACGGCTGAGTGCGGCCGACCTGTTTGCGGTGCTCGAGGTGAGCATCTCCGGGCTCGCCGCCGTGACGGCCGTCGGCACCTCATGGCCGCTTCCTCCAGGTCGCCGGCCTCCGTTTCGAGTGGTGGTATGAGTCTGGTGGCATCCCACTTGTGCACACCGTGCAGCTTGAGGGTTCAGACGGCACACTGAGGCCGCTATCGCGCCGTCGATCATATGCCAGGTGGACGCCAGCCGCTTCCTCGCCGAAGCGTACTCCGCCGGCATTGGACCCTGGCTACTTGTGGCTCGGAGCCGATGCTGTGACACAGCCGCAGACGTTCGACAGCGTTGAGCTCGCGCCCAGTGCGACGCAGCGCGAGCGCATTGCACAGGGTTTCTTTGGGACGACCGCCGCAGAACCGAGTGGCACGAGGTACCACAATTTTCTTACGCGGTTGCGCGCAATGCCGTCGACGAGCGACGCCACATCCCCCGGCAGCTGCAATTTGCAGTTGGATGACGAAGGAGGTTCGTATGTGTGGGCGCAGGACCACGACGGCAATGCGAGCACGCAGCTCTTATGCGCCGGGTTCAACGCGACAAGCATCTCGGAGTGGGCCGCATATGAATACGACGCCGTGTATGCGCTCGCGCACGCGATCCACGATCTGCTCGAGGTTCCAGCAGAAGAGCGCCATCGTCGGCGCCGAGCTGATCGCCGCCCTAATGGAGCGCGTCAGCTTCGAGGGCGTGACGGGACTCATCGATCTCCACACCGGAGACTCGAACGGTGTGTATGGAGCCAATACATACCGTGGCGACCGGCAGGTAGGCGTCGTCTACGATGTCAAGAATGTTGACGCCTCGGGGCAGCTCGTGACCGTCGGCAAGTGGGCGCCGTGCGCCACCTGCTCGTTCGCGCAGCGATGGAAACAGGTTGCCCCTCTGGTGTACTCCACGGGTGGAGCGACGCCGCCATGTTGCTGATCCATCGTCCAACTCCGCCGGGCTGATCATCGCCATCGTGGTATCAGCCACTTTTGGGCTGACGCTAGCTGTGCTATTATCATGGCGGCGCATCGTCAACATCAGCGTCAAGAAGATCGAGCAGTGGTGGGGGCTCCCCGCAGTAAAGAAGAGCAACGAAGCCGAGGAGGAACGCAAATGTTGCTCCTTCTGGTTCGTGCCCGCCGACTTTGTCGTTGAACTCGCAGAGGCTATCGGCGAGGCAGCGGGCGCAGAGGAAGAAAAGTCCGAGCTCTGGTTCGAACAGCGGTGGCAACAGGCGCTCAAAGTTCCTCGCCCAGTATCTCGACGCGAGCACGCCCACGACGACCTTGAGCAGGTGTTTTGCCCGCTTGCAGCAAGTCAGAGAGGCGACGAGCTCGCTCCCAACGGGGAAGGTGCACCCGGCAGGAGATGGCGCGGCGCCAAAGCTTCACATCACAGGCAACGTTCACTTGAGAGATGGGTTTCCAGCCCTCAAGAGAGCGAGAGGGAAAAGCTGATGCGGCTGTTGACCGACGTGCAAGTCGGAGGGCCCTGCATTCGCGCGTGCCATCGCCGCGTCCAACCTCACTTTTCGTGCTCTCAAGAAGGCGGGCGTGCTGATGCGGCGCGAGATCTACGAGGCAGATGCTTTCCGTGGCGAGTATGCGCAAGAATACCTCGCGGTGAGCCACCGCTGGATGATTGCCGACGCACCCGACGCGGCGAAGATGCCGAATGCGCGCAACTCGACTTGATCGCGAAGGGACAGTCATCCCGAGCTCAAGTTCGTGTGGTTCGACTTTTGGTGCATGCCACAACACTCCCTGGTGATGAGCCCTAGGAACATCCTATGGACCCCTAGGAACATCCTATGGACGTATGCGACAGCAACCGCTGCGGAGGACGAGGGGACACGCAAACGCGAGTGCCGGCGCACGCGGCTCGAGGACGCATCGTTAAAATGGATGTTGAAGAACATGTCGACGCTGTACGTTGGCTGCGCCGTCCTTATCCTCCTCGATCGCGGCTACCAATCCCGCTTCTGGACAAGCTTTGAGGCGTGGCTCGCCTTGCGCACCGCCACCGCCGAGGGTCTCGCGAACACGCCTTGCCCGACCGACACCGTGGCTGTGGAAGGCGGGCTGGCGCAAATATCACCGCGCGCGAGCGTTGCGACAGTGTACGGCGCGCCCAGCGCGCTCATTCAGTCGCTGCAGGAGGAATGGGCAATGTGCACTCGTGAGGAGGCGCGTGAGAAGCTCAGGTCGCCCGACGTGAGCGTGACCAACGGAAGGATAAGACAATGCAGTTGGGCTGGTGGGAGGACGGCAAAGTGGAAGGGTGCAAAATCTTTGAGCTTGACGACCTCGCACAAGAGGTCTTGGCTCCTGACAGGAGCACACGGGAAAGCGAGAAGCTTCGGCGAATACGGACCGCCAAGCAGAGGCGCCAATTGGCGCGAGCCAAGGAAGTTTCGCGGCTCAGCCACTTGCTCAGCCAGAGCTTCGTTAGGCGGAGTCGTGAGGACTGACTTGATACATCATAATGGCGCACAGGAGCCAAGCAAATGATTCGGCTCAGTCAGAGGCTCAGAGCGTACGTAGAATGTTGTGTACAAGGATCAAGGGGAGATGGAGATCAGAAGTTGTCAAGGTTCTCGGTTCTGCCCGGGTGCCCCACACTGTGCCCCTTACCCCTTCACCCTCGCCTCGCTGCCGTTTATTGTGTGTTCTTTCCACGTACGACAGACCGTACGGTGGTACTCTTTACTATGCAAACAAAGACGTACTGTTCAAACACACACACACTTCAGAACCCACCCTCAGGCTCATCCCGCTTGCTGCGCGGCGGATGCGAATACCTGGCCAAATGTGCGGGGTTGGTTTGGTAGCACCTGGCGCCATATTTGCACGGCGGGAGCGGCTGCTGCCGCGCGGGGTGAGAGTACTGTGCTAGGTGCACCGGGTTGGTCTGATAGCAACTGGCGCCAAATCGGCACGGTGGCTTAGCGGCAGCAAACGGCGGCGCGAACGGTGTTGGCTGAGCCTGAGGCGGCTGCTGCTGTGGCGGTGGCAGCCCCACCAACGCGTCGTCGTCGTCGTCGTCGCCATCATCCACCGCCACGGGAAAGAAGCGCGACGGCACCACTCGCGCCGGCGGGGCCGGTGGGGCGACGGCAGGAACACGCACCCGCGCTTGCTGCTGCTGCGCTGCCGCCGCCGCCGCCGCTCCACCACCACCTCGACTATCGCTACCGCCGCCACCGCTGCTGCTTCCCGCTGCCCCCGCCGCGTCTGCCTTGGCGGCGCCACCCTGCCTTGGCGGCGGCGGCTCCGACGACTCGATCAGGTTGCCTGTGGCCGGGTCGACGGCGGCGCACAGGTCGGCGATCCTGCCAGCCTGCCGCCAGCACTTGTCAGCGGAGACGCCGCTCCAGTCGTCGTTCACGACACCCGCCTCGAGCGCGAGCTTGTCCTCGTGCACCTGACTCGGGCGATCTCGGGCGGATCTCGGGCGGATCTCGGGTGATCTGGGGTGCATCTCGGGTGCATCTCGGGTGCATCTCGGGTGCATCTCGGGTGCATCTCGGGTGCATCTCGGGTGCATCTCGGGTGATCTCTAGCGCGGGCTCGTCGCGCGCGCCTTGGTCAGCGCCCAGTCTGGCGAACCGCGCGCGAGCAGGTGGTAGATGGATACCTATCTCGCGCAGCCTCGGTTCGCCTCGGTTCACCTCGGGCCATCTCGGGCCATCTCGGGCCATCTCGGGCGCCGGCCACTTGCGAGTGTGGGGGTGGGGGGTGGGGGGTGGCCGCCTCTGACGTCTGTCCGCACCGGTGGATCCGCTTCTCGACCTGGCGCGAGATCACCCGAGATCAACCGAGATCGCCCGAGATCGCCCGAGATCACCCGAGATCGCTCGAGAGGGCCGGTGGGGCCGCGTCCAAGGCCTGGCGCGTGTCTGCGGGGCTGAAGGACTGCGAGAGCATCACCATCGCCGTGACGCCCGGAACCAGGTTGAGGCCGACGCCACCCGCCTTGAGCGACAGCCCGAGCACGCCCGACTTGCAGCCGAGGAAGGCCTGGGAGAGGGCGGCGGAGGCGAGGGCGGGACGGCGAGCGCGGCGGTGAGAGGGGGGCGGGGGAGGCGAGGGCGGCGGTGGAGGGAGGGAAGGGGGGGGGGGGGGGCGAGGGCGGCGGCGGCGAGGGCGGCGGCGGGCTGGGCGGAGGAGGGGGCGAGTCGGAGGAGGGGGCGAGTCGGAGGAGGGGGCGGTGGGTGGAGGTGAGGGGTAGGGGGGGGGTTCAGTGGAGGTGCAGCTGGCCTTGACGAGCGCATCGCGCCGCTGCCCCGAGAGGGACCCATCGTACGTCCCGTGCCACTCCAGCGGCACCTCACGAACGAATGGACCACTGGAGGACTGGGAGAGGGAGCCGTCGTCCCGTGCCGCTCCAGCGGCACCGCGGCTCGCACGAGCGCGACGCAGATCTGCAGGATGCCCACGCTCTCGGCCACGATGACGAAGCGCGGGTGGCGCGGCGCAATCTCCGCCACGAGACTGGCGAGCGCGTCGAGGAAGCCCGAGCCGCCGGCCGCAATCGCGCTGGCCGCGTCGCCGCGCGCGTTGCTCGCGCCTGCAGGACATGTCCCAAGGACGTGTCGTGGACGTGTCCTGGCAGCGCGTCGAGGCCGCGCGTCGCTCGCACCCTCCGCGTAGAGCCGAGGGCTGACGATCAGCTGGCGGAGCTGCGCGGAGGGGGGAAGCGGCTTGGTCGGCGAGGGGCGGGCGGGGCGGTGGCCGTGGCGGTGCGCGCCTTCTGCAACTTAGCGAGCAGCGCGATGAGGAGCGCGCCTGAGGGGCTGATTCGTTAGCAATGAGCAGTCGTCGACCAGAGCGGCGCGAGGAGAGGAGGAGGAGGAGGGCGCCTCGCCCTCGCGCGTCCGCGTTCATCTGCACGCGGAGACGCCTCATGACCTCCCACTCGCACATGTACTCGCTCGCGTCGGCCGGGCGCAGCCGGATGTGGAAGTGGCGCACGACGCGGTGCATCGGCGGCAGCTTGAGCACCTGCGGGGCGGGGCATGGACGTGGCACGGACGTGTCGTGTCGTGGGCGTGTCGTGGGCGTGTCGTGGGCGTGTCGTGGGCGTGCCGTGGGCGTGTCGTGTGCGTGTCGTGTGCGTGTCGTGGGCGTGTCGTGGGCGTGTCGTGGGCGTGTCGTGGGCGTGTCATGGACGTGTCGTGGACGTGGGCTCAAGGGGCGGCCGCTTGAGCACCTCCTCGGTGACGCGGTGCTGCGTCTCTCGGTAAAGCGCCGCCGTCCGCGTGCTGACTGTGCCCTTGACGCCCTTCTCCAGCCACTCCTTCTCGCTGTCGAGCGGGCTCCCAGCGCAGACAGCGTACATCTGGCCGGCCGCGTCGCGCGGGCTGTTGCAGATCGGCGTGCCGGTGCAGATGCCTGCGGGACATGTCCGGGACACGTCGGGCGGACCTGTCCACGACAGGTCGCGGCGAGGCGGTGCGGATGCCGCGGAGCCGCGCCGTCCGCGCGATGCGGTGGTGCGCCTCGCACCACGCCTGATCACGAGCGCGGGGCTGTCAGACGACGGGCGCTTCACCACGTGCGGCGGCTTGTCTGCGCCCCCCGCCGTCCGCGGGTTGCGCAGGATGTGGGCCTACCTCATTCATCACGAGTGAAGCAGGAGTAGCATCGTTGATTCGCCGCGGGATGCGCAGGGGGGGGGCCTCGTCGATGGAGAGCAGCTCGAGGCCGTCCTGCTCGAGAGAGGCGAAGAGAGGCGCCTTTGCGCCGCGCGGCGACCACCCGCCCACCCACCGCCGGCCGCCTGTTCACAGCTGCACCTGTGAAGAGACGCTCGCAGGCGCGGCACCGGCCCACCGCCGCCCGCCGTTCGGCATCGAAACCTCGTGGTGCTCCTCGACCCAGGCGTGGCACCGCTTGAAGATGTTTGTCACGCAGTCGCGCGTGAGGATGATCACCTTTGCGTTCCGCAGCGCGGCCGCCGTCACGTCGCCCGCCTTGGACGTGCAGAGCACCTCGCGCGAGCGCACGCGCAGGTACTCGGTGGTCGTGCGCGCCCAGTGCTGCAGCACCGCCGCCGGGCTCGAGATGAGCAGCCGGCCGCACGCGCGCCCCTCGCGCCGCGCCTGCGCCTCGAGCGCGGCGTAGACCAGCATCGTCGAGCACGTCTTGCCGAGGCCCGGCTCGTGGACCAGCGAGTACACCGACGGGCGCGAGGAGCAGAAGGCGGCCGCGTCCAGCTGGTGCGCCATCGGCTCGAACGGCCGGCGGGTGCGCACGAGGCCGCCGTGTTCCTCAAGGAGGGAGGAGAAGAAGCCCGACGCTGGCGGCGCTGCGCTGCTGCCGGCTGGCGCCGCGCTGCTGCCGGCTGCTGTGGGCGGTGGGAAGGCCGACGTTGGTGGCGCCGCGCTGCCGCCCGCAGCGGCGGGCGGTGGGAAGGCCGCCGTTGGTGGTGCCGTGCTGCTGCCCGCAGCGGCGGGCGGTGTGATCTCCTCGACGTCGCTGTCGTCCACGGTCGCGTCGCTGTCAGCATCGGCGGCAGCGTGCGGCGCGTCGTCGCTGTCGTCGATGTCCGCGCCGAAGTAGCGCGACGCCACGATTTGCTCCACCGGCTCATCCTCCTCGTCTGAGCTGCAAAGGTTTATCATGGCGTCTGCGAGGCGTGCGTCGAGACTCCGCAGGTCCGGTGTGAGGAGAAGCGGGCGCCAACAAAAAAAGAAAAACGTGCTGCATCGCACCTTATGGAGCCGCACCTATGGAGCTGCGGTGGCGTAGAGGCCCAGCCCAGATGCTGCAGCGATCACACCCATGGCAGCTTCATCAGCGCGCTGACGAGAGCATCATCGGGCTCACGTCATTACGGAAGCACAAGCAGGCCGTGTCCGGCACGACGGCGATCTCCTCTGTCGGATCTCTCTCGTCGTCGCTCCTGGCGCGTGCTAGTACTATCACAGGCACACCACCGGAGCCAAAGAAGACACACAGGACCCTAGCGGTCAGGCAGGGCTCTCTAGCCCGTAGCCCGATACCGATCATCCGGCCCGCTGGGTGCGCTTCTTAGCTCCCCGGCCCTGGATGTGAGGTTACCGACTGCACTCCAAGTGCTCCAAGTGCACAGTACACACGCAAACGTAAAGCGTGCTCACATCTCTACACTAGACAAAGCGACACACAGCACACACGCAAACGTAAAGCGTAGACCCCGCCGCACCGCATCACCGCCCCCTTCCCTGCCCCGTCGCCCTCCTGAGCTCTCCCCCCTTTGCTCCAGCCACTCACAGGACGGCTGGGCCATCGGCCCGCGTGACAGGCGCCCGGGACGGCCGGGGAGCGGCTCCGTAATTTGAGCCCTCTCGGGCCACTCTCGGGCGCGTCCACCGGCCGGCAGAGCACCGCTCGGGCGACTCAGACGGCCCGCCCGACCAGCGCCCTCGATCGTGCCGCCCCCCACGGCGTCAGTGGCGGGCTGGGGGGGGCAGACGGCGTCCGCGCACCCCTCGTGGGGGTGACCACCGCTCTCCTCTCACCTCTCCCCCCCCGCCCGTGGCACCCCACACTCGTCCCTCCTCAGGGGCGCATGGCGGCACGTTCAACGCTTGCCTCGGCCCACCTCGCCATCACGCCCGCCGCCGCGACCAAGGAGGTGGCCTCGGCGGCCCAGACGAAGCCCGTGCGGCTCGTTTGGGAGCCGCGCGCCGTCCCTCTCTCGCCCGCGCTGCTCGCCACGCCGAAGCCCACGTCCCTCCGGCCGCAGGCGCCGCCGGGGAGTAACCAGCGCCCCTCCCGAGCACCTTCCCGGCGGGCAGCGCCTCCGTAGCGGCGCTGGCGGCCCCTGCGAGCCGGCCGGCGCCACGAGTGAGTATTCGAAGGCGCGCGCGTCCCCTCTCTCCCCGGCCCGCCGCGTCTCTCTGACCACCCCTCCCCCTCCCGGGTCAGGCGTGCATCGGGCGTACAAAATGGCCGCGGGGCGAGCTCCAGCGACGCTGTCTCTTTGGCCCGAGCGGTGGGTAACTCCCTGGCCGGGCTCAGGCCCTCTCGGGCTGCTGCGAGCTGCGCGATGCGAGTCCCCTCCGCCGCACGGCCGTGCCCTTGCCCCTCACCCTCCGACTCCGCCGCAGGACCGGTCTGGCGACCCGGAACGACCGCCTAGAGCAGCATCATCGACCATCCCGACCCCGTGGGGGCCGGGGCGGGCCAGCCAGACGTGAGAGCGCCCCTCCCCCCTTCTCGTGGCGCGTCCCCTCCTTCCTCCCCGCAACCCGCCACCCGGCTCGCCGCCCCGTTGCCGTCGCGAGTCAGCCCTCGGTCAGGTACTGCCAAAGGCGGCCACAAGCAGCACCATCGCTACCAGCGCCACCGTGCCGGCGCTGGTGAGCTCTGCGGCCCGTGTAGCGGCCCCTTAGCCCGTCGCCCGGGCACATGGCGCCCTCACACCGCTCCTCGCCCCCGTCTCGCAGGCCAAAATCGTCGACATCGCGTCGGCACTCTCTACGGCGCGCCTGGGCTCGCAGAGGGCGGCCTGGGCGGTGCAGGGTGGCTGGGCTGCCCCCCTCGCGCGGTGTGCCAAGCCTCGGGGGTCGGGGATACCATCTCGGGTCGCCGAGGGGGCGGGTCGGACGCCCGATCCGGCTGCTGGCCGGAGGACGTCGCCGGTTCCGCGATTTTGGGCGCCCCAGTCGCCTCCAGCCGGGCCGAGCGGCGCCAGCTGGTAGCTGGGGCCGCAGGGCGGTCGGGCCGACACCGTATGCTAGTCGGAGTGGATTGTCTAGGGGTGTAAAGGTCGGTAGAGTGTCCGTTTGTGGCCTCCGGATGGGCTCTGGTCGGGAGCCCGCCGGGCCGGCTGAGGCTGTGTGTCCGTCCACTGTGGACCCAGTGATGGCCTAGGAGCCCTGCACGGACGGTGTTTATGCTATATAACACCTGCGGACCGGAAGGTACCGCCGTGGCGCCGCGAGGGGCCGTCTAAGCGCCAGCGTGACCCTTCCCGGGCCCCCTTGGGTGGGCTCCGGTGCACCCGGTTGAACTGCGTGCGTGCGCGAGAGGACGCCGCAGAGCCGCCCCCCTGCTCGCAGGCGAGCTTCCCAGGCGCGCTCCAGAAGGCGACGTCGAGGTTGAGGTCGGTGAAGCCCTTCTGTGTGATGAAGCTCAAAGGTGGTCGTGTACCTCTAAATGCGGAGCGAGCGCCTTTTCGCCCTACCTGGCTGCGACCTAGCGGCATGACTCACGCCGCAGTTGTGGGGACGCTACCGCGGTTTTGCGCTGCTCACGCGCACTGTCTCCGCGGGTCCGTCGCTGCTCTGCGGGCCCTCTTCTCTCTGTGTTTTGCCATACGTCAGTACCTGCATAGTACGCACTGTAGGGGGCTCCAACCCGACTCTCTCCACTCTGTAAGAAGACTCTCCGCCCGTGTCCACACACACACTACTTTGCCTCGAGCCGTAGCCTCGGCACGATGTTCATCGACTGCAGCTCCTGGAAGAGGAGCTTGCAGGCGTACGGGATCTCTAGCTGCTGCAGGTGGTCGCGCGAGCGGCACGGCTGGCACCACTGCGGCCGCGCTATCAAGCCGCACTTTGAGCAGACGTGCACGCGGAAGCCGTCCGACGAGGTCATCAGCCGCTCGTTGAGCAGCATCGACGCGCCGTACCCGATGAGGCAGTCGCGCTCCATCTCTCCCAGCCGCAGGCCGCCCTCGCGCGAGCGCCCCTCGGTCGGCTGGCGCGTGAGCACCTGCCTCGGGCCGCGCGCGCGCGCGTGCATCTTGTCGATGACCATGTGCTTGAGCTTCTGGTAGTAGATTGGCCCGCAAAAGATGTATGCGGAGAGCGGCTCGCCGCTCAGCCCCGAGGTCATGAAGTCCTTGCCGAGGTAGTGGAAGCCGTGCCGCACGAGCACCTTTGAGCACGAGTCGACCGAGTCGCCGCCAAAGGCGGTGCCGAACCGGATCTGCCCGTCGAGCACGCCCGCCTTGCCCGCGAGGAGCTCGATCATCTTGCCGACGGTCATGCGCGACGGGAAGCCGTGCGGGTTCATGATGATGTCGGGGCAGATGCCGTGGTCGCTGAACGGCATGTCCTCTTGCGCCACCACGCGCCCGACGACGCCCTTCTGCCCGTGGCGCGACGAGAACTTGTCGCCGAGCTCCGGCCGGCGCGTCGAGCGGATGCGCAGCTTGATGAGGTGCGTGTCATTCTTGTTGCCGGAGAGCATCACCTTGTCGACGTAGGTGTGGTCGTGGCCGTGCGGGCCCTTGTACGTGAGCGGCGTCGGCCGGTACGCGGCGGGCGGCAGGTCCGCCTCCCCGCCGGGCTGGTCCTCGCGCGTGTTGTTTGGCGTCACCTTGTTGACCTAACGGGGAGGCGCAGCGGAGGTCCTGCGAAAGTGCGGAGAGGGCGCGGGTGGTTTGGCGTCCGCTCGCTGACCAGCACGTCGCCGGGCGCGAGCCGCTCGCCGACACCGCAGATGCCGTCCTCCTCGAGCACGCGGTACCGCTGCAGGTTTGGCGACGGCCGCGGCTTGTGCCTGCCCGTGCCGGCGGCCGGCTCGGCGGGCGCGGCCGGCGGCGGCGCGGTGCGCTCCGAGGCGCCGTTGGGGAACTTTTTGAGCGGGCAGGTGAACTTTTTGAGCACCATGCAGCGGCCGAGCCCGCGGTCGAGCGAGGCGCCGTTCAGCATGAGCGCGTCCTCGATGTCGTACCCCGAGTAGGACATGACGGCGACCGACATGTTTTGGCCGGCGGGCAGCTTGTTGAAGCCGGTGAGGTCGATGGTGCGCGTCTTGACCATCGGCTTGTGCGGGTAGATGAGGAGGTAGAGGATGGTGTCGATCCGCTCCGACTGGTTGTACGCGATCGAGCCCATCGCCTATCTCGGACGATCTCAGCCGATCTCGGCTGATCTCGGACGATCTCGGCGATCTCAGCCGATCTCGGACGATCTCGTCGTTCTCGGCCGATCTCGGTCGATCTCGGCCAATCTCGGCCGATCTCGGCCGATCTCTCGGCTCGGGGAGGGGGGGCGGGGCCGCAGGCAGGCGGCCTGCTTGCCCATCGCGCACTGGTACGTGTTCCGCGGCGACTGGTTGTGGTGCGGGTACGGGATCAGCCCGGCACACACGCCGAGGATGGTCAGCGGGTCGATCTCGAGGTGCGAGTACCTGTGCGACGGCTCAGAGACGGCTCCGAGAAGGGTGCGAGGGTGGGTGGCGGTGTCGAGGCGAGGCAGTACGGCGCGGCTCGCGGCGGCGTCGCGCGCAGCTCGGCCTCGCGGACGGCGATCTCCGCCGAGTTCTCCTCGTTGACGTCGAGGTACTCGACGATGCCCTCCTTGACAAAGTCCGCAAACTCGCGCTTGCCGGCGGCCAGCTCGTCCATGTGCCTACGGGGTGGCGAGCGTGTCACGGCTGCGAGGCGCGGTGGCCGTCGGCTGTATGCCGCTGAGCCTCGGGGAGATGTGGGGAGATGTGGGGAGATGTGGGGAGGTATGGGGAGGTATGGCTGTGAGCCGCTGCTCGAGGAGGGTGCTAGGAAGTGTCTAGGAAGTGTCTAGGAAGTGTGCCGCTGCTCGAGGAGGGTGCTAGGAAGTGTCTAGGAAGTGTCTAGGAAGTGTGCCGCTGCTCGAGGAGGGTGCTAGGAAGTGTCTAGGAAGTG